TATGTGTGTGTTTTTGCATGGCCCCTGATGGGTCAGGATCTCTGGATAAAGGTAACTGAGAGTTCTCAAGGCTCAAACGAGGCGCTAGTGTTAGATGTTTGACTTGGTTAGTGCAGATCGTGTGATGGTTGACAGAGCTTTTCTGTTCTTCAATGAAGACACATACAGTACAATGGTCTATTAAAGTCTATTGATGTGGAACTGTGGACTAGTTTTTTTAAAATATGTATTAGGAGAGTATTAGCCACTCAAAGGAAAATATGACAATGCGTCACAAAAATGTGTTTAAAAACTGGAAAGTTCATCTGATAAGGATGTGCCGTGCAGTTCAATGAATGACAGGACCACACTTGCTTCTAGGTCAGTAGTTTCCTGCACAGGGATCACAGCTGAACAGAGTTTGATCTGAATCGCCATGATTTCCACAGGAGAACGATTTCCTTTAACCGCAACGATAGCGGTGTTGCTGAAAAAGTCGCAGGCGGCTGGGCGGTATCCGTGGGCGAGCTCGGGAGTTATGAATCGCTCGACCTGGCCGAGGGGAGAGAGACTACCGCTGCGCGTGGGAGGGCTGGGGCCAGGAGGCACAAGGGGACGTGAGCGGGAGACATGATCAGATCACACGAATGAGCTCCCGTTTCGCTTCCCCTTGGCCGAGAGGGATCTGGCGCGCTGCCCGTGACCTGCGGATGGCTCTCAGAGAATGTGGCACCTAAACCAATTAGATAAGACTGCCATAGGGCAACTAATCCAACATATACAGGTCCCATCGTCAATATGCTGAATCTCCAAACTGTTGAGCAAACAGTATTTTTATATGACTGTTTATCATTAGATTGATTTTGATTAAAGGCGTGCCGGTGTCTCTGAGAAAACACCCAGGCCTAGTGGGGGCACTAGTGGGAGCGGTTAACTGGGGTTTGTGTGTGACAAAGGCCAGTTCATCATTTAATCCTGAACAAAATGTGCTCCATAATCTCATTTATTCAGCTTGATACCATTATTCTATTGTTTCAGTCAGCTGAGTCGTCTTTTTCACTTTCAGCTTAATTATCATAATTACCTAATTGGACACATAATTGGCTTAATTGAAAACATTCCCCCATGTCCTCCAGTCTGAAGGAGGACGAAGTTGGTTACTATAGGAGACTGCAGCCCTGGTCTTTGAGAGCCACAGTGGCTTCTGGTGTTTTTTTTCAGCTGAGTGCTGAATTGGATCAATCAATTGCTTAATTAGAAAAAATTAACGTTTTCCAAACCTCTGATCATCGCCAATTCAAGGCAGGGTGTGAGACACAATTCCTGGAGGGCCTGGTGTCTTCTGGTTTTTGTTTCATCTTGAGCAGTCAATTATGCAATTAACCTCATTAAATTCTTGACCCTATAGAGGATTTTTCTAAAGGTCATTTCCACTTGATTACTCAAAACACCCAATTCATTAAGGGACCAGTTACCTAGAAAACACTTAAAAGCAGCATCAGAAGCAGTACAATCCTGCCTTTAAATAAACCATTTGACCATATAAGGATTAGTGTAAAGACTTGCACTGGGCTAAAATCAAAGTGCAAAAATGGATTATCCCTGTTCCACACCCCCCAGAACCCTGATTTTCACTGGTGCTCTGCCCTGTTCAAGGTGACCCTTCTGAAGGGGTGTTATAAACATTCAGGTCCTGCACAGCTGCAGAGCTGAGAGAGCTGAAGAACAGCCATCAAGCACAGACTTGCACTCACAGGACAAGACGATCAGCTCTGAGCTGTGATGTGTTAAGAGTCAACATCACTTTCTGTGCTGCCATCTGTAAAATGTTTTAGCAGTGTAGTGCCATTATTTTAATCACCCAGCTGCTTTGTTAAACCAGAGTCTACTACAACTAGGAAGGTCAAAGCTTAAAAAGAAAACCCTAATGGTTAAAAAAGAATGGCACCTGCAGATTAGTTTAAAACATTTTCCCTTATTCTTCCTGTGCTTTTAAAAGCAGAGAGGAGTGAGCAGAGCAAAATGCAGAGCATCAATTATCGAATTCCTAAGCCAGCTGCCTGTGTGAATTCAGAGTGATGTAATTGCACCTGAGCTCTGAGCGATACAGTGTTTGACATCACTTCTCTATTTAACTTCACTTGTTAGGAATACCTTTCTAATTACCATGCAGCTGTGTGAATATCATCTCCATTTCAAGATGTCAAAATACTCCTGTAGAGAAGAAAAGAGATACTGAAACGCACCAGGTCATTCTGGTTGAATTCTAAAGAAAAGGTAGTTTTCTTTATTTTGACACCCCAGAATTGGAACAGTTTGAAGCTCCAGCTGAGAGTCCGACAGAAGCATGGGGCTTCCTGTCAATCTGGGGAGATTTCGGCCTGCATTACTGTGTCAGTTCAGCCCGATAAAAACATGCACCTTTCCATCTGCTTTTATTTATAGTAACCAAAGGCATTTTAAGGATGCAAGAAAGAACAGCAGATCAATTTAGACTACAGCATTTATTTATTATTGAACCAATCCAATTTGTAAATAAGAAAAAAAAGGAGGAAAGGGTCTTCTTCTGAGGCAGCATCTTAGTTTTTTTTCTAATAGAAATTCCTAATGGATACACTCCAGGCCAGACGGAGGAGAGACTGATTAAATTACTTTCCATTGCCAGTGCCCCTGTGTGTGCTGGTGTGGGGGACCACAGGATTGCCCCTGTCCCTCACGGGCCCCCGCACGCTCAGGGCCCAGCTGATGAGTCCTCAGAGTGGAGGGAGGAGACCCCTCGGAAAACAATCACACTAAGACCCCAGCCTCCAGCCTGACATGCCCCTGATCACCAAGGTCTCCATTTTCCTTCTTTTTTGTCTGATGGACCTCAAAGCAGAGTTTAACTGTTGCTAAAGAACTTACGTATTCCAGGAATCCGTGCTAATGACGTTACTTCTGAAGATGTCTGGGCTCTGACTGAGTCCTTTATGGTGCCGCATGAGACCAGGACCTCTTGTGCAGGCAGTGGCAATGACTTCTCTCTTTTGTAACCTTGGTGCATTACCCAAGCTGACCAGCAGAGGCCACTGTGGTCCTGTTTGTGCCACGCAGCAGCTCTCCTCAGCACTGTTGACTCACTCTGGGGGAAGGCTTACATTAAGAAATGCCTTCAAGGCATTAAAAACACCAGGACGGAGTGTTTCAGTCTAGCAGCGCGGGGATTAAATGTTCCTATGTGACAGATCGGAGCTGCAAGCTGACAGCCTTTGACACAAGTCCCGGGTTCCCCCGAAAGTTTACCAAGGCAAGTTTACAAGACTATTTTAGAGTTTGTCTGCCATTTGTCTAAACGTTCCAAAAACTGTAAATAGAAACATGTCGGAATTAAGGGAACAGTTGCCAGTAAAACACAGAGCGCCCCCATGCGTATGAGATGGCACAGATGGTGCAGTTGTTGAAACAAAAGGCTAAAGTGATAACCGGGAAATGAATTAGAGCAAATCTTTAGCAAGTAAAGGACATGAAAGCTTTTTAAGAATTGCATGATCCTCCAGTCCTTCTTGTTTTACTGGAATTACTCTTGGTTTCAGGGAATTACAGGTAGGGGACTTTGCTCTTTGACAGAGATCAAATTCCTCAGGGATGTAATTCTCCAGCATAGGCTGTGGACTCCGTTCGGTAGTGCTCACGGAAGAGACTGGACACATTCAGCTTCCACGCAGGGTCAAGGGATTCTCTCATACACTGATGTAAATTTGGAGTTGGAAGGAAAACCAGCATAAAGAGAAATTTTCCTGGATGAATCGTGGCATACTGTAGCTGGGCAGCAGCTCTCGCGCCCGGCCTGATGTGTGACAGCTCATTAAACTGTACCTGCTGTGTGATTTCTCACTCCTAATACTCAACCAGGAAAAATGGCAAAACCTCAATTACTGCGGCAGCCCTGTTCTTTCCAACAGACACAGGAACCCAGGAAGCAGAAAGAAGAGCGTCACACACTCTGCTGTCTCGCCATGCTCTGCAGACCCATAACCCCCCTCCCACTGGCCTGCTGTCCAGTATCGGGCAGTGTCCGGTCTGACCTGCCCCTTAGCAGGCCTGTCATGGGCTCTGGACCCTCCCTGGCCCAGAAACCAGGACACAGCCCCGCCAGCCCCAGCCAACCCCCCTTCAATCAGAGAGGAAGCCAATCAACTCACCTGGCATATATACAGGAGTTATGTTGTAATAATATGAGTACCAACATTTAGTCTCATTCAGAAATAGTTTCTTCTGCACAGATCACAGTCTTACTAGGTGTTAGAACATAGCAGGGCTGGCCAGTCAGCTGACCTTATTGCATTCCAGTCTGCTTTTTAGCACTGCCTGGTCTGCAGTGATGTAAATGAATTGATCATCAACAAATCAGGCAAGCGGGCCACTCAGATAACGGACATAAGCGGTACAGCTGCTCTGGAGGCAGTCCAGCCAGGGGACACAAGTGAAAACCTGAGCACAGGATGTACCTCTTTACCTAGCAGGGGTCTTGGGAGACCTACCCAGCCATACTGCTGAAGGTGGAACCCTGGCTTTTGTCTGGAATCAGCGGGTTGAAATCCTGGAATCAGTTAGCTGCTAAAATAGGATCAAGATGGGCTGAGTGGTTCCTCTTGTCAGTGTCCTTACACTCTTAAGTCTTGTCGCTGTATGGATTGGAAAGTCATGTATTTGATTACTGTGGTGCTGTAAATATTTAAACGTTCATTTCCAGTTGTCTGTCATCCTATAACGGGTCATGTGCACAGAGGAAGTAGCTCAGGGTACATAATGAATCAGGGGTTTGCGATGCGCTGATAACTCTACTGTGTCGGTGTGACCAGCAGGCCGGGACCAGGTCGGGACTGGTCATTGGCTGAGGCTGAGAGGCTGAGACGACTCCCAGCCAATCAGAGAAGAGAATGGAAGTTCTTTCCGCCTGCCCCCCCAGTTCCATAAAACACACTCCTGTTATACGTTATACAAAACACTGACGAGTTTCATTCTCTTCGCATATTAAGAAATGACAGTGCAGAAAATTTTTTTATTCTCATAAAAATACTATATGAAAACAATAAAACACTACTCATACAGGTTTGTGTAAAAAAGGACAGACAGATAAAAAGGTTTTCACAGGAAGTTATAGTGTCAGGCTCCTCAGAAGCAAGCTGGCTGTGACAGACGGGGATCAGGAGTTTCAGATGGGATGAGGTTGAGGTCCTGTGGAAAAGCAATAGGAAAAACAAACAGGGGGAGGATTTCAAGTCCCCTAGAGAGTGAAGAGCCAATGCTTGGGTTAGGCTGTCAGCTGCAGCAATGTACTGTACAGTATGTCTACTCGTCTAACTGGATATGTCCTACAGGACATGAACGGTTGGGTTGCTTGTGAAGGATTTTCAGGATTTTCAGAATGGCAGAAGTGTGCAGGTTAAGAGCACAACAGTCCCCAGTGCTCTTCAAAGCTGCTTCTTGTTAGCTCGCAGTCCACAGTGTGCACGGGGGTGGAGTGCAGCTCGTAAGGCAGGCTGACGTACCTCAGCGCAGGGGTGGGGCTGTGGAAATGCTGGATGGGTTTCAGTCGGTATAAAGGCCCATTCTCCTGGTTCCAGGGAGCTTTAGTCCATCGGTGCTTCAGGAGTCCACCTCTGTCATGAAACGGGCCCAGAGTCTGCGTCACAATGTTGGAATGAGCCTGCGGATCGCCTGATCTGTCCTGCTCCGCCACAGAGCCACCCCAGGCAAAGATGAGACACGCAGGACGCTCGTCAGAGACAGGAACACTCCCCTGAAGGGCCTGGTGCTCACGAGCAGATAGGTATCAGAGTTTCTGCGCTCCAGCAGCGGATCAGCCAAGCGGGGAAGCTAACGCACTACTATTAATACGAAAACTTGCACAAGTAAGAGAACAAGTTAAAAGAAATCAGGCAATAAATGCGTATAGAAGCACTCAAGTGGGATGGCATTTTAAAAACTGCAAAGGATGGGAAGAAAGAAGTAAAACAAATGTTTCTGTCAGGGTTCTGTGCTGCTCAGGACATACTTACCTCCATCATCCCTGGCAGGCTCTGCTGGGAGTGGGGCCGAGCGACAGAGCTGCTCTGCCCATGGCGATCTCCTATTTTACTTCTTGCCTGCGGGGTCCTAATTAACTGCCTGGATTCCAGTGGCTTTCTGAATTCTGTTAGCTAAAATCTGACAAGTAAGCTGCCTAACGCCAGTGTTATTCATTTCCCAGTGGTTCTCTCAAAGCCCAACGTGTGTATTGTGTGTGTTGTGTATTGTGTGTTTTTCTGTTGCTGCAGCAGGGGGTGGTGGAAAAGACTATGAGACCATAAAAAACCCTGTATACCATTGCATTTCAATAAACTAGTAAACTTTCAAGGTAATTCATTCTGGTCCCATTGGCGAGCTTTTCATACAACTCTATTACGAACTTGAGGCTGATCTCAGCTCAGTATCTTAAATAACATGGGTGACAATTTAAATGGGGTGTACTGTATAGGGCCTGCCTAGTGATATTTTAGAGCCACTTGCTCACGGCGTTAATCACTCGGTAGAAACACAGACGTCGCCCAACAGTAGGCTTCTGAACAGGACGGCGGAGTATCTGTGAGGGGCCGGTCGGGCTCCTGCCAGGCGGGGTGTCCAGGACGACAGCAGCTCGACTGGTCTTCCGTGGTGGACGTGGGACACCTCTGCCAAGGGCCTCTGCCACAACGTGGGCATTGTGATTGCTTTCTCACCCGCGGAGTGGACAGGTAACTTTCGAGCCCAAAGAACTGTGCCGAAATCTGCAGCACACACATGAGGGGAAACTGCTCTTAGGGGCTTCAATTCAGAGGAATGCAGGCTGGTTTCCAAATGCTTCTCAGTGTGAACAAAAGAAGGAACAAACAGAAATATAATGATTATTCCAACATTGAAAAAAGGCCAAACCAAGGTCGAAGCAGCCACAACACTGGCTGAGGTTTAATTCCAAGTTCGAAAAACTAAAAAGAGCCCCCCCCTCCCCCCTCCCCCAACTTCAAAACAAAGAGAAGAATCTCTGGGCGATGCGAGAGGAGAGCAAGAGGAGAGTGAAGCCGTGCTCCTGGGGCGGCGGAGCGCAGCGACTGGGACCGGTTTGTTAACGAATTCTCAAAGGGAACACTCGGGTCGCCCCCTAGGAAGGAAAGGAGCCAAACGAAACTCTAAATGGCTTAAGACATGTGCAACATCAGTGAGAAAATGTCTAAAAAAACTGCAGTTCTCCCATTCTTGTGTGTGAAACCGGTGAAGGGAATCCTCCGGAAGAAAATCAAGACGTTTTTCAGAAAACCATGTTTAAAAAGCCTGTCTCCCTGTCCCCCTCCCCTACCCCTACCCCCCTCCCTCCTGTCGAAGTGGCAGTCAGTGCAAAAGTGCAGAGCTCAGTCTGCCCTCATCTTCCCGTCCTGTCTGCAGGAACAACGTGCGCGGGATTGCTCTTCCATCTGCGACGGCGCTGACTTCGCCCTTCAGCTCCCTCGTTCCCAGCTGCAGGCGTGGCGGTTTCAAGACAGGGTCTCAGACCTCGGTCTGGAAGTCTCCCTCTGAGGAGTCTGGGGTGTGGCTGGAGGTCTTGCTCCAGGCCTTGCTGTGCATTTCCAGTTTGTCTTTCTGTGTGGATGGGGCGGGGGTGAGGGTCATCGCTTTGAAACTGTCCCAGGACTGGTCATCAGGGGTGGACTTGTCCTGCCCAAAAAAAAAAAAAACGAGCTCAAGACTATCCGTTTTATCTGCAATCGTAAGCTGTCTTTCAAGACCGGTGCACAATAAACAGTAATCAGTGAGCAGGAGAAAAAAAAAACAGTTTTACATTCGAATTCTTTTGAGATACTGATGATTGCTCCCCAGCCGGAGTAACGTCAGCACCAAGGCTGTGATAGCAAGCACATTAAACAAATCAAGCCTGTGCCATGCATGCCCACAGGACAACTCTCCTGATGAGTAGAAATGAGCAGCTGCGTTAAAAAGGGATGAACAGAAGCTAGCCCTGTTATTAAAGAGCATGAAGACCATCCCAGGACAGATATCTCCTTCATCACCCTTCCATTACCAGAGAGGCGCTCACTCCTGGCCTCCTGGAGCCTAGGCCACACACACAGGGCATGAGGCCGAACTACAGCTCACACAGGACAGGCTGGGCCCTGATCAATCACTCACAGGCTGTTAAACCTGGAGCGAGTCCCCAGTAGCTGCACTTCAAACCTCTGCCACCAGGAGGCAGTAACAGATGAACAATACATTTTCACATACTTTATAAAAGATACAGCTGGCGGAGAATGACAGAGGAGGGGCAGTAAGAGAGGTCATTGCAGAGACTCTCCCTTCAGTGTGTGCAATGGTGCCTTCAGTAATCCTTCCGCTAGCTGCACCATTATTGTCATGGTTTATCCATGATTTCCCATCCTTTAACCCTGCATTTATTTTGCAATGTTCGCTCAAGGTCTATACCATACGTCGATGTACAGGACTTTACCACGATTTCACCCATGCTTCGCCGCACAAGGCTCTTAGGAAGGTTGGTGATGTAACAACAGACGCACACGCTGGGCTGTGGGATGAGTGTTTGGATGAGGACACAACCGCATCTCCTCGGCCAAGGTTCTGCAGCCCGGCACTGCTGCCTGCCTGCTAGTGCCCATCCCGCTCATCCCCTGTAGTCTTTCTACTTACACTCGAAGAGTTCTTTTCACCTCCGGCTGACGAAATGCTCCATCGCTTTTCCCTCTGTTTCAATAAAAAATGAAGGGGATCGTAGTCAGCAACAAAGCAGACCAGTCCTGGGCAAGTGTATGCTCTGGTTTCTGAAACCCAGCAGTGGAGCTCCAATCCTGGAGGGCCACCACACCTCCAGATTTTCCTCCCTGCTCTACTCTTAATGACCTCGTTGAGCTGATTATCACCATCTCTGGACCTGGTGAACACCTTTCAAAGGACTTTAGCTGTTGATGTGTTAAGGAGAACTGGATTGTGACCCTGGAGGACTGGAGCTGTGCACTTGTGGCTTTGTGGAGCTGCACAGTGAGCAACAAAATGAAGCTTGGCCGAAGACTCTTGCCCGTCACTACAGTTACAGTATACCACAGGCTGTATATTGTTATACTAATAACAATAGCAGGAAAGTTTAAGACAGAAAATGTGCAGTTTTCATCATGCATTTGACTCTGTTTGTGTCATTCTTTGCCATATTTAATTTGCTTAAATGTGACTTCAAAGTGCTTTACTTCAATTCAGTTTCTTGGAAATGTGTATTTAGGTGAACATTTAGAGAAATTAATAAATAATTTCTCGAAGTGGTGCATCTGGGCCCCAGTGATGTGCGTTACTTCTACAAGCACGAGGCATCTGGAAAGATTTCATGCTCCTATGCTGATTCACTGTGAAGCGCTGTTTCATTTTCCACACCACAGCAGTGCAAGCTGTCCCTACTACAGTAATCCGATGGGTTCCAGCACGCCTGGGACTAACACCAGTCACAAAGTCATTTCAAGCAGAGGAGCATGGGATACTGAACTCACAGATACAGGGCTGCCATTGGGTTGATATTTCCTGCAATATTTTGTAGGTGTTCTCATGAAATTTCCTTAAGAGGTTGTTTCCTTCAAATTACTAATCTATGCTGTCTTCTGGTGTTTTACACTGAAGAGACTGTGGGCTTATGGAACGTGAGGAACATCAGCCACCCTGAGGAAGTGCCTCTGTTCCAGAGGAGACGAACACCAGGGGAGTCTGTAGCAGCCCTGTCCGGAGCAACATTCGGGGCTCTTCGACTGGATGATTTAATGAGGTTCAGTGAGCGGTTGAGCTGTGCACAACGTGTACAGTATTTACAGCGCATCTTCCACAGCTCCTCAGCTCAGGGCAGTCAGGGCTGCAGGCAGTCCTGAGGCTCTGAGTCCTCGTGTGCCCACCAGGAGCTCAGTGCCAGGCAGGACCTGTGAGATTCGCTTTCACTAAAATCCCATAGAACCTCCGTCTCAGAAGTGAAAGGGAAACTAATCGGATCCCCCAGCCAACCTCAGTGGGAGCCCCACCGTCCTGCTCCTCTGCCCCTTAACAACAACAGGAAACACAGGGGAGCTCTCTATCAGGGTTCCCAGTCCAGATCCAGGGGAGCCTCAGCTCCTGGTGTTCACTGCAGCTGAGCTCTAGTTTCTTAGAAATCCTGAATTCTCGTACTGTAGATCATCTACATATATAATCCTGAATCAAACCAACAGGGTGCTTGGTTGGAGCCAATTTTTGTTCTGCTCAGAGGTCGGAGACTTTAAATTAATTATGAAACACTGTAGCTACAAGGTAACCTCCCTGCAGGTTGGGGAACTAAACACAATTAAAGAGTTCAAATGAAACCTATTATGAGGTCTACTGAGGGTCCAATTATTGTAATTGAGAGCGCAGGTGGAATAAAAACCAGCAGGTGTGGGGGTCCCAGGACCAGGATTGGGAAGCTCTGGTCTATATCATTCCCAGCCATCGGGGGAGAGGAACTACACACTGCAGACAGACAGGACGTCACGAGCTGGGTCAGACTTCAGAAGCCGTGCTACCACTTGCAAATTCAAGAGCTCAAAACAAACAGACATGCTACGGTGGGATTTCCTTCTCTGTACTACCTCTACAGGGATGATTAGCGAAACACGGAAGGATCTTGTTGTTTCGGTTGATTATTTTTTGTTTTAGAAAAGTACTCATTGAATTTATTTGTGTTTTTTTACCTTTTCCTAGTTTGCTCCCTCTGGGCCGGCTGACTGCCTGGCTACAGTCAAACTATGACAGAAAACATGCAATTTGAACGAAACCGATCCAGAAGTAGAGAGACGGTTTACTTGAACACTGTCACAGACTGCTAAAAAAACACACTACTGGACAGAACAAGCAAGCAAGCACTGGAGACTGAACTGTTCGCCCGGGTGGCACAGTGAGTCTGCTGACAGTGGGCCTCATGCCCACACGCGGTTTCCCTCTCCCCTGCGATTCTGTCACTGTTTCCCGATCAGCCCTGACTGATGCTCAGCAATCTCTCCCCTTGACTTATACAGTACCATCATATCTTTGCAATAATTTGTGTAATCGTTTCGCTTTCTATAGTCATATGAGTTGATACGTTTAGTTAGCCCTCTTTCCACTACTGAGCACACATGCTTTCAGGCACACACCCGGGCATGTGCTGTGGAAATTTTAAATCTCATCCCCTTATTGCACTGTATTGAAGACTGATGTCAGTCATGTTAAGTATCAACTGCAGGGCAGTTTTGATTCGCACGCCAGCTCAACAGAACGTTTATCTAGAGGGCCCATCATGCCTGCATCCCTCTTGTGATCATGTTTTGCACAGAGTTCGATGAGAAGACAGCCTTCGCTACTGCTGTGGGGCAGGATTGCAGGGGAGAGAGACTCCGCATGGCTTCTTCTGAAAGAGGAAGCTTGCCAGAAAGACAGAGACCTGGACTCCCGCGGTAACACTAAACCAGAACGATGCAATTAAAAAAAGACAGGATAATATTCAAATGAAACAAAACGATGGTTTGCAAAAGTAACTGATGGAATGGGCTTGGGATGCTACAGTTTTAATTTTAGGATTGGTTTTAGTTGTTCAGGCTTTGTAGTTCCTTGTGGTCAGTTTTTAAAACAGATTGATTTATTCTTTGAGTCAAAAACTACCAATACGGTCTCGTGCTCACTGGCCTGATTTTTCACCTCAATTACACAAGCACTGTACATACAGTACCACACTCATTCTACTATAAAAACAACAAACTGACTATCTGTGCAACATCTTTAGGAGCCTAAACTTCTCTACTGGTGCGTCATGCTTACGTTGGCTTTCTTGATAAATGAAGGTCATTTTTCGTTTATTTGGGACTTCTGTATGTCTCGGAGGTGTAACCTGCACAGCAAATATTGAGCCAGTGAGAGTTTTCTGTGGGGCTGTATGCACACGTCACAGGGAAACAGGGACACTTTTAAATGAGGGAGGAAGGTAATTGAGTTTGTTCCAGCGCTGTCGGGATGAGATGAGAGATCACGAGAAACATTCAGATGCTATGAACGCACACATGACAGACAGGACCCACTGGGGGGTCCGGAAGCAGACAGGAGTCTGAGAGCAGCGTGTGACAGAGTCTTCCACAAACACGGCTCCTTTACTGGGGGAGTGAAATGTTTGTGTTTGGCACTACTGTACATCACCACCTCCTCTGGGCTCCGCTGACTAAAAGCTCACGCCTTTTTATGTTTTCACGTTATTTTCAAGATCAAAAGAAAATGAAAGACAACCTATGTATACTGCATCTACTTATTACACATTTGGAAACAAAAAGGGAATTCATTTTGGCCAGAGAATAGTCAACATTTCTGTACACAAAGTTTCTCTGAGCTTCTAAACTAAAAAAAACAGCAAGATGGGCTGAATGACCCTGTCTTGTTTGCAGCTTTTCAATGCTCATATAAACCACTAATGAAGATAGTCCATTATAACCTTTTTAGAGTTTGTTAGAACTAGAATTGGAACTTTTTACCTAGCGTTTCTGTTTAGTGGAAGAGAAGTGTGAGTTAATGATGTGCTTGGATGTTTTCAGTGCCCCCAGGTTAGTCTGTCGGGGCTAAAGCAATGGCAGTAAACACAATGAGATGTAATCAAAATTGATCATGCTAACACATCCCCCCACAGGCCCAAGAGGTCAAGCAAACTCTGTGAACAATGACTCTGGCACAGTCAGAGGAATGAAGGACAGTGATTCTGTCCTGCAGTGCTGCTGGATGAGGCTCGACTGCAGTATACTTGATACCCACCATGTCTGAAAAGAGAATCAGGCCAGTTCTCTGGCAGAGAGAATATAAGCTTCACCCATCAGAAGAATATTAATTTGTATCTGCTGCATGAGAGAAGGTCAATGGGACTGGAGAGAATATTGTCTAACCCTGGCAAAATTAGAGGAGGATTTCAAACAGGAGCATTTCTGTTTCCCTGCAGTTAAGATGAAGATAGTCATTTTGCTAAGGAGCACATACATATACTGTGGTGTATACATATACTTCAGTATATGCAGTACATTAGAGTAGTATACTGTATATCATGAACTGCTGGGAGACTCTCCCCTTTTATCATTTACCCTGTTTTCAGAACTAAGGGCGACACTAACCAGGGACACACGAACCCCTGACATCAGTCTAGCAGGGCATTTGTACAGCTCTAATCTGCTTTTCAGTGCTTGTTTCTGTTGTGGTTTCGCTTGTCTGCTGTGCATCTCAAACCCCTGCGCTCGGCCATGGCAGTATGGTGCCTCCCTCCGCCTGGCAGCGCTGCCTCACTTGGGGCTCAGGGCTAAGGGCGCTCGGGGCTCAGGGCGCTCGGGGCTCAGGGTGCAGCGCAGTGAAGCGCTGGGCAGTGCGTACCCCTCGCTCGCCAAGCGGGAAGCACACGCAAAGTCATCAACTGCTATCTGCCCTGCTTTGAAATCTATACCACCCGAGGCGCAGATTGCAATCGGACTCGATCAGGAGCAAGGGCAGACTTAAAAAGGAGAGCAAACTCTTTAAATTAATTACACACTGAGCTAGTGTTTTAAAGATACTCTGGGGCTGGATCAGCGCTCAGAGTCAACGACTTCAAATGGAAAGAGATCTGAAATCCCAGAGCGAGTAACTGGCTACCGGAGAGGAGCGGGGCATGGTGGGGCAGCTGTTTGACAAAGAAGCCTCTTCATTTCTACTGGGAGACCGGCTCTCATGTGCTTTACTTGTCTTTCTGGGGTACGAGTGGCGGGAGTCTGGAGTGATGCCTTATTGAAGGACGGTGATTGGGAAGCAGTTCAGCCTGAGATCCCCAAGGAGAAACACCAAACCTGATTTTAACAGCGCTATCGCACGTTCAACCTCAGCAAAGGTTTGGTTGAAAAGAAAAGGTCGCCAGTCCTTTGATTTACAAGGACCAGAAACACAGGATGACGCAGCACAGAGGGCTTACTGCCCGTGGTTTGGGACGGCCCGCAGACGCGGGGCAGCGGGTCTTACCTTGCAGGCGGCGGACGGCTCCCTGTACCTGTCGATGGTGTGGAACTTGTGGTTGAGCTCGTGGTACAGCTCCGAGTGGCGCTTCCGAGTGTGCATCACCTTCTGAGACGGGAGAAGAGCGAGAAGACAAGAGCAGGGTGAGAGGACAAGGGACCGAGAGCGCGGCGCCACAGGGACAGGGCACAGGGGACAGGAAAGGCTAGGGGAGGGAAAGGGCTGGGGACAGGGACTGCTTTGGGCCAGGGGGCTGTCGAAATGGTGAGGGGGTGGGTGGTTGGATTCTGGGGAAGGAAGAGATGTGTGTGTGGATGCTGGTTCGAATCCCGACACACTGACTCAAAATAATATTACAGTCAACGTAGTCCTGCAAAGATTCATTACCACTTCATCAACCAAGAACCAGCACATTCCTCCTCCAAACAGGTATTCATTTCTCCTAATCCTGCGTCCTTCAGGAGGTGATTACTGTACCTAGCACTGGAAAGGGACACCCTTGACAGTGTGTGTCCAGGGAGCCGGGCTCTAGCAGGGCCAGGCAGGGGCTGCCCTGTGCTGAAGAAGACACTGTGCCTCAGAGGGCAGAGGACTGGGCCACTGACAGACACAAGTACTGGAGCAAGGCCTTTCACTAGATAATTCTGAATAATCTGTTGAACCACATGTATTGTCAATGACACATTTCTTAAGATGACTGACCACTCGTTACTCCAAGTAAGTGGTGGATTAGAGGGCTCGATTAAGCATATGGGGTGCCAGTGCCTGTCTGCAGGGGTATGTCTCCAGTCAACAAAAGGCTGGTGTCCAAATCCCCAAGGCCAGCAGGCCAGTGGAGTCCCCAGTGTCTGCTTGCTCTTTCCACACGGCTCACCCGCGCTCAGCAGGAAGCCCGGCTGGCCACAGGAGTCTGGGGAGCAGAAGCTCGAGGCGCTGTGCCCCCTGTCCTGAACTGGCTCAGCTGTGCTGGCTGCTGCCCCTCGCACACAGAATCACTCAGCAGACTCAAGAACCGGTTCATTCAGGCGTGTCTTACCTCGAAATCCAAGTCAGAATATCGTACTCTTTTCCTCTGGAGGGAGGGAGAGAAGACATTATCAATGACAGCAACTCACTCAGTGTATGACCATCATCAAAAAGCACATCCTCCAGGAGAGGAAGCTCTCCAAGTTTGGGGAGCACTGTGCCCCACTGACTTTCAGGCAGCACCTCCTGGCCCACCCCACCAGGGATCCACCCATGTTTCTCAACTACAAATATCCAGTGTCCACGTGAGCATCTGCATCAGGCCCTGCCACATGCAGATCTGTCGGTCTTCTGTTTTGAGCAAAGGGTTTTCTGTTGCAACTGAACAATCATGACAACAAGGCTGATCCTTGATGTCGTGGAGCTGAGCTGTCGTGTGTGTGTGTGTACACAGTATATTCAGTATGTAGTTTACTTATGTTCAAACTCTTGTGGCAAATCAATGACTAGTATCAGATTTTACTTCTCCAAAGCTTGTTGGAAAAATCCTGCATCACTGCAGTATTGGTCACTGACACTGAGCTTTGTGTTCGGAGTTTGTTCCATTTTAAAATCTAATATTCAAAGTGTGCCTGGATCTTAGATATATCTGGAGTTATTTGAGTTTAAGAAAGGAAAAAGAAGTAATGAAATCCTCTCAGATTTGCCAGTACTGTGCAACACTTCCTCGTTGCATCAGTTCACCTGATCAAAGCAGAGATCATCTTAATATGGACGTTTATCCACTTAAGAAGCAGATGACTTTAAGTTCATGCGTGTTTAATGCACAAAGCATCACTGAATTAGGAAGAAATAACACTGCTCTCAGATTCAGAGACAGAATCAGACTATTGTTCCACTTTAAACCAAAATGAACATTCTTGTCTTTACACAGAGTTTGAAAGGGTGGAGTTAATGCTGCTTTGAAGGTGAGAGGCTGTGACAGTGACCTTGGTGACACACTTACCTTCAGTGCTCCCTGGTCTTATGGTAACGTCCCGCAGTGTGAAAGCACACGCAGGGCTACAGCCCGACCGGGAGAGGGGCGGGGACAGGGGCGGACCGGGGGCGGGGACAGGGGCAGGGGAAGAGGGGGCGGGGTTTAGTCCGTCTCCTTAGTTGCTCTTCGGAGAACCTTGAAGAAGCACAGTAAGGCAGACAGAACACAACCCCTCCCCGCTCAGTCTTATTTATTTAGAAAAATCTGGAAAAATAAAAAAGTGACCTATTGTTTAGATACAGGGGATTTTCTTTACTTGGATTGTCCTGGAAAGAGGACATTCAACCCCAGTACTCCAGGGTGAACAGCAGGATCCAGCTGAGAGGAGGCTGGGGACGTGCTCCTGTTCCCACAGCTGGGTCTGAGGTACAGCACAACCTACCTGCCAGCCGGCTGCCCTCCTCCCTGAGAGAAACAGGCTGAGTCCACCCCCTCCCTGTCTTAAAGGGTCACCACCCCCTGCTGGCTCTTGTTTCACTGGGTCCCGCCTGGCCTCCGTGCCACAGACCCCCCTGCTGGGTACCTGCCCCCCCGGCACACGCGCTGGTGTCACACCCTACCTGATGCCCGAGGCCAGGCTGCCAGCCGCCGCTGTGTTTGCGCCCGGCTTGGTATCACATCTGGTTGAGTCATCGGAAACACCAGACCCCCGTGAAGGGGCTTTCGCCAGGACCGCCTGTTGTGTCCTGCACACGGTGCCACGTTCTGGGCAATGGCTGTGCTCTAAGCCAGGGGTCATCCTCCTTGGCACCTCCACTCCACTGGGAGAGTGACCCTTAATGGTCCAAGCCCTCTTCAACACCTGGGTGAACTCACCAATGACGATCCCATTCAGTAATGAACTCCTTGGGAGCTCCCCCACCCTGCAGTGGCGTGGGGTGCGAGTGCCGAGGCTCACTGCCCTCGCTCGCGGCTAACGTCCTGCAACCCCTTCAGAGACAGGGGGCGCTGGCACCACTTCGCAGAACGGGATCACTGTGACTCCAGGAGCAGCAAGCCATGCATTACAGGACCGCTCCCTGGCAGCACGAACAGCACTGCCCCAGGGGCCGGCTTTCACAAACCTGCAACAGACTGCGTGCGAGATGGCTTCGAACAGACACTCTCCCGGGAACAAGCCGGACTGAGAGGACGACCGCAAGTCCAGTGGCCCACCTCTCGCAGGACCACGGCTGGCCTGGTACTGAATCACTCATTCAGCAGAGCGGGCTGCTGTAGCAGACCTGCATCGCTAGGTGATAGCTCCATCACCATAGTTACCGTTGTTATTAGAAACAGCCGAATTCCACCATTTCCCAGAGGGGCTGGCTTGGAGATCAAACTAGCTGGGAATGGGTCTGATTTCCCTACTACTATTCTCTCGCCGCAGGTCCGCACGGAAGTGGAAGACATCACAGCCAACGGTAAATGTTCCCTAACGGAGCATTTGGAGGTTTCAATCTGACACCCAGCCCTCAGCTTCAAGGGGTAGCTTGGCAGGAGGGCCTCCGGGTGTTTCCACACCATGCATGCATTTTTAAAGACCGCGCAGGTACTGGGCAAGGAGCTGCTCAGGAGCTATACACCAGCTATTCCTCCAGGACAGGGGTGTGCCAGGGACCAGCTGACTCTCCTCTGCTGTCAGACTCACACGGCCAGCTCTGCTTAGCCTGCCTGAGGCCTGACAGCGCCTGGCCCGTATGCAAACGCCCCAATACTGTGGAACCCGTTTTCTCTGCCGGGCCCTGCTCTGTGGGGCTGGCAGCTGGCTGTGAAATGAGTGCCGGGCAGGGGGGTGACCCTTCAAGCCTGTCTCTCTACTTACTTCCAGAGACCCCACCGACAGAGTGGAGCCGCCCATGTTGCGCGGCATGGTCCTGCTCCGGTCGCCCAGCTCGGAGGCCAGGATCTGGCGCACCGAGGGGTGCGGCTTCAGCTGCAGCCCCTGGGGGTGCTTGAGTGTGCCGTAGGGCTGGTTCAGGTTCACGTCGATGTGGTCCACCGACACGAAGTTGGGGTAGCTCTCCGGCTCAGCGGGGTGGAGGCCGAGGGGCGGCGGGGGCGGCGGGAAGGGCGCGTCGTCCACGGCGATGTTGAGCGGCTTGCCCTGGGGCCGGAGGCTGGCGTGGCGCCGTGGCAGCACCATGTAGTCGCCCTCGGCGCCGGGCTCGCGCGGCTGGGCCCAGCCGAGCTCCACGGAGCGCAGGCCGCTGTCCGTGCACAGGTACACCGGCCCCGTGTGCTGCTGCTGATGCTGCTGCTCCAGGTTGACGTCTTTCTTCAGCGGCGGCTCGCCCAGCTCGTTCAGCCCACTCACCGGCGGCACCAGCAGGCTGGACGGGGGGATGTTGCCAGGCAGGCTGGCGAAGTTCATGCCCTCCAGGTTGGCGTTGAGCTTGAGGTCGTCCTCGTCGTCCAGGGAGATGCGGGACAGCGTGCCAGTGATGGTCGCGGGGTTGCAGGTGTTCACCTCTTTAAAGATGACTGGAGGAGAGAGGGGCAGGCAGAGAGAGAGGGGTGGGACCAGGTGGGGCAGGGCCCAGGGCTCCACCTCTAAGATGGGGGATCGACAGCTCTTAGTTAAAGAAGGGGGATGCTTTGACCCTTCACATCTGGCTGATCTCTTTGTTTACTGAGCGATGCAGACAAACGTCACTACTGTATTACAGGTGAATGGAGCATCTGGTCACCCTGACCGCTACAGAGGGGAAAGCTGGTCCTTCGTAGCCTGTAACCATCTCTTCAGCATGAAGGAAGAAGTATAAGGTAAATCTGTACAGTACAGACATGAAGATGTCTGTACACTGGCAGTGCGTTACTTTCAGGAAACAGTTATAAAAAGCACAAGGCATTTATTGGTTTTAATAAGCACACAAGATTCAAATTCTCTCCAGACGGAGTTTCAAAAAGATGTACCAGGATAAGTAACAAAACAGTGGCCACTAACACTAAGACTGGAAACTCAAGTTAAATATCTTAAAGGACTTCTGTGTCAAGTGCAGAAACCCTGGTTTGGTTCCTGTCGGTGGAGGAATTTCTAACTCAGCCATATTCAGTTTTAATAACATTATAGGGTCATTTTAGAGAAGGAAATGCGACAAATTTACTTTTTGAAACCTTCCTTTGTGTGACCAGGTAAGTCCACTGAGCAGCAGTTCCTCCTTGAGCCTCGACTTCAGCCATGTGAGCCACGGGCTCAAGGGAACAACAGGAGTGGACTCCCGGGGCTGGAGTTTGGGAGCACTGCGGCCTTTAATTAAGACATTAAATCTCTTCGAGGCAACAAGATCCAATGAAAAACTCCTAGTTAAAACTCAGCTAGCTATGGGTATAAAGGGTTTTATTGATATTTGTATAACTGTCATGTACGTGCATGAGTAAACTGCAAACAGAAACCATCAGATTAACCTCTGGCACCTGTTTAGTTCAGTGTCTCCAGTCAATCAGCTCGACTGTGCATTGCAAGAGCTGCCCTTCATGGACATTTTAGACTAGAGTGAGTGCAACTGAGTCACGCAAGAGCACAGCACTTCGCTAAGTGATTTGCAGTATTTTCTACTGCTAGACTAGAAAAGACTAAGGTACCTATTAAGCAAATAACAAACCTAGCACAGCTTGACAACTTACCAGGACTCTCTCTTTCTGAACGGATTTAGAAAATAAAAACAGCAATACATTTTTTAAGACTAGAATAAACCTCTCAATGAAAAACAGCTACTTGACCTAAAGACAAAATAAAAGAACCAAGCTGGGAGTAGAGCACAGACTCACTACTTTAGTAGCCCCGGTGCTACTGAGGGTTTTGTGGGACATAGTTCTGTGCAAAATAATCATGAAAGAAGCAGACAGTCTGGGCTGGGGGCTGATGGAGAAACATGAATAACTCAAGACTCAGGGCAAACTAGAAATCAGGCATGACTGAAGAGAGAAGCAGTACAATGTGGCAGTATTATACCCCATATCTCATACTGTCATATAAAACCTAATGTTAAGAGTAATTAGAGGTAACAGAGGCTGAATAGTGGGGCAGAGCTGCGGATAAGGAACTGTGCCTGTGGCTGGAAGGTTCAAATCCTGCAGCTGGCAGAGGAATCCCTGAGCAAGACCCTTAACCCAGATGCTCCAGGGGTGCTGTCTAAATGGCTGACCCTGTGCTCTGACCCCAAGCTTCTCTTCCTGTCTGTGTGCCTGTGTGTCTTATGGAGAGCAAGCTGGGGTATGTGAAATGACAAAATTCTAATGCAAGAAATTGTATATGATTAATAAAGTCATATTTTACTACTGATACAAGAAGCAATATTACAATCAGGGAGGTCTTAGATCCCAACACATCACAGTACATTCAATCTAGATTCCTATCTCTAGCCACCTTCTGTGCTCAGAAGTGCATCTGTACCTCCACAGGTGACCCTGCCCTTTACACTGACCCAGATATACAAACAAGAGTAACAGGCTCAGCCTGCTGGATTTAAAATGGAGATTTAAATACTTCCATGAATGTGAAAATCTCCAGGTCCCATCTCTTTTTGGTTTTGGTTTGCCAATCCAGATGCAGAATGGAGACTTACTCTCTCCTGTCTGCCTCTTCATCTCTCCTGTTAGACAGTATTTACGTAGGACCACATCACGTTGGCCCCATCAGCTGCTGGTCACCATCTGAAAGGTCCAGCCTCTTAAACTGCAGAGCTTTCAGGTCTCCCGTCAGACCTGAATGTGCGGGCTGCTTATCTAGTCTAAAGAGGGTGCCCCAGCCCAGAAGTGCACCCCAGAGCTGGGAGGCAGACCACCGAGCCAGTGTGCTGCTGATCATAAAGTACATATTCAGTGTGCTGGAGTTCACTGATCCTGTGCTCTTCATGTCTGACTGGAGTGTGCTTTGATTAAAAAAAAAAACTGAACAAAAAAAAAAGCCTTACCTGTTTGGCAAGCCAGGTCCACATCTTTTTCAAAGTCTGTCTATATGAAGGCAGGAAACAGAAGGTTTAAACACAGAGGAACAGTTAAAGACGGTCACAAGCTTTCTACCCTAATTCTCGCGTTTACTGTACAGTAGCTGATCAGGACACCCTGAAAATTATTAGGAGAAAGTGTTCTTTTACTCGTTCATTGAATAGCGATGGTTTTAGATAAATGGATTTCCTCCCCTCAAACAGTTCAATGTGATTCTTCTTCTATGTCCAGCATGAGAACTCTTTCAGCACTGAATTGTTTGCAAATCTGAACCTCAGGCTGACGTTTAGGCAGTTGAGCCTGGCTGAATGCTTTGTCAAGACCATCTGTGTACACCTGTGCGCTGTGTTAATGTGAATCTAAAAGGGCACATAAGAAGTAATTAACAACAGCAATCCAAGTAGAACATAACACCAATCTGCAATGTGCTAGCCGTGATTATCAGGTAGAAGAGCCACACTTCTTGAGCTGTGCACAACAGAGCAACAGAACGCTTCTGTTGGGAAGCAGCCTCTGCTGTCTGGGAAAGAACTGATTGACAATCACATTAATTAAAGCCATTAAAGCAGAGTGGAGCAGTAATTGGCAGAGCTGAGGACACACAGGGCGAAGCTACAAGGCCAAAAGTTTTCTCAAGTAAGCAGACAGCTAAGCATCCCATTTTACCCCTGAGGGGGCGCTGTTTCATCACAGACACTAGGGGAATGGGTGCTGCTAATATAATAATTCTGTTTGTACTTTGTACAACACTGTACCTAGCTACAGACAACACTGTAGTTGTTGACTATAGCTAACTCTGTTGGTTTAACATTTCAGCCCTCAAGAATGACTTTTCACACTTCCTTTCACACTTTCTTAAACATCTTTTGTCATTCTGAGACTAAACATACATACTGTACTAATATTTCCACTGTCAAATAGCAGTTGAATTATCTCAAAAATCAGAAAAAAATTAGATTCACATAATACTATTTTTGTGAAGTATTTGATTTCAATTTCAATTTTTTTTAGCATGCTGGAAAAGCAGAAATCAAAAAGCTTTTAAAATCCATTTCTGACTCCTTTCATGCAGACCCAGGTGTGTCAACCCACTCAGCCTTCTAATTCTGTAGGTTAGGACACTGGAACTGCTCTTTGTGCCTGGAACGTGCCAAAACAACCAGAACCTTGCTCCTCGCTGGCAGACGAGGACAAAGGACCCTTTCCCTCTCCAGCTGCAAGGTGAAAGTGCTCCTATCTGTTTGCTCCAGTACCGGTACCAGCTCTAGAATCTGGCTTCGAGAGGCGAGTCCCTGCTTTGCTTTAATCAGATCCAAAGTCTGACAGACAGGCTCTTTACAAAAAGTAGTGTCAATTCATGCACAAAAGACACCATCAGCAATGTGTATGAAAGCCTGGGAGAAGGTGCACTGGAGCAGAAAGCTGCTGCACAGTAGTCCCTGAAAGCAGAAAAGCAGGACACGGGTGCGAGGTGGGTGATGGGTGCTGTGATATTGAGTGGGCTGCAAAGGGAGGCTCAGCAGCTGAAACACTGGGCTTTTTCATCTTACGTTTGAGCACAGAATCAACCTCTTCTTGTTCCTTTGCACGAAACACAATCATACAGAGAATGAGATGAAGGAGAGGAAAGGATCAATGAGGGGAAGAGACTAAAAGAAGAGAAAATGAAGGAAAGGAAAATGATGACATGTTATTCACCATGATCTGCACCTGGCCGTTCTTGCAGGAGTCTGGGGAGTTTTCGCTGTCGTCTCCTTTACAGATCCCCATTCTGCACCGCACGACATCCTGGACCTGCACAGCACAGCACAGTGCACTGAGCCCAGCCTACTCTCGCCATTCAGAGTCAATAAAACCCACCGGCAGGGGAGTCCACTGCCGAAATGACAAGAAACTAGACAGGCATGAACCCAGTCTGCTCAAGAACTGCGGCAGGTAAATTCAGAACCGCCAACTGCACCCGCAGGCTGGACACGCCAGTGCTGGGCTCCCCAGCACACAGTTAAAGGAGCAGGTGGGAGCCCCAGCTTTCAGCAGGCGTCTCTGGATACTGGGGTCCCCCCTGATCTCTGTCAGTGCGGGGTGCGTCTCTGCGTTGAGAGCAGGCCAGCTGAGGGGACAGCGTGCACACGTGAGAGAGTGACAGTGGATGAGCCAGGCTCGCGCCCTGTACACTTGGCTTAAGCCTCTAGTCACAGACAGCAATATCTGTTTTTAATAACGTGGCAAAATGAGTTTAAACTCTGGAGTAAAGCACCTCCTTCTTCTGTTTGCGTGTAATTTGTCCAACTCAGCACGTCCTGCTGGAATTGGTCCTTTTTATCATGTCGTGACTACCCAGCGAGCGCCAGCCTTGCTCTTTAATGTTGTGTTTATGTGTGCAACCTCACTGCTTTAATGAAAAGAAATCAAATATCCACCTCCACCCCCTCCAAAAAAACAAAACATATTTACTCTGGTCTCTCACTTCAGATCTGTTGTAGGGCTGTCAACGAGCCTCATGATGATACAGTACCTGCAGGTCAACCCCAGATTAAAAAACCTGCCCCAGAAACTCAACTGATTTTCATTATGACTTCCGGTCTCCAATGTGTGTCTCAGGGTTGCAAGCTGGGCTTTGCTATAGCAGAGCTTCCCTCATGAAACAACTTTAATATCTAAGAGTTTGCAGGAGTCTCTGTCATTATTAAAGAGATTATTAAAGTGAAAGGGAATGCTGCAGGCTAAAGCCTTGAGTATTAGGGGCATGTGCAATGTTGAAATATTTCCCACTAAACTAAATGTTTTGCTCAACATATTCCTGACCTTACAACTGTCCGCCATGGGAAGTTCCCAGTTTTCAAGCTCGCTCTGTGCATTCAGTTTGCTTTGCCATGTGAGTCCTGGGGTATTATCTCTTCACACTGAGCCGCAATGTTCTTGATCTTTCACACAGTCTATGGCAAAGCTCTGTGTCTCACAGGATTAATTAACCACTTTCACATTCAAATTTCCTTAACCAATGCCTTATCATTTTCAAAGTAATGTTGTATTATCATTATAACCTGAAATGGATACCTGTCTCCCTTAGCTTGACTCCTATTCATTCCTCCTCTTTAATTGCAGCAAAAACCCTACATAGACACGCCTCCTCAGGAATTGCTCTCAGCATGTTTCCCACTAGACTGTGCTTGCACCACATGCCACATATTTAGAAAGTCTTCTAAAAGAATTCTTATTAAACATGTTCAGTCTGAACTACTGTGTAATGTTCTATGTTCTGCTTTGCTTTTAGTGTCTTGGGGCCGGGTCGGGACGGGACGGGATGGGCCGGCTCTCGTGTGCAACCATTCTGAGATGAAAGTGCTTCCACGAGGTGCTCAGGAGACCAGTAGTGCACCAGGCAGACGCCAGCCTGATTCTGCAAATCCGTCCCCACAATGCAACCCAACCACAAAGGAGCAGGCAGGAGAGGAAACAACAAGTCTGACACGGAGCGCAGGCCAGCACCTGGGCCGGGCCGCCTCCCCGTCCTGTGCGTACAGAGCGTCGGGCAGCCTCTCACCTCTCGGCGCAGCGCGCAGTGAACAGTGATGATGACGCAGCCCTGGACGGAATCGAAGACGGCAAAGAGCACCTGGAAGAGGATGGAGCGCCGGTCCGTCATGGCCAGAACCGCGGACATCCAGGTGAGAGCCAGCAGGGGGAGCACTACGCACGAGCTCCAGAGCGACGCCCTGCCGGGACACCAGACCGCACTTCAGCCCTTTACAGGCAGAGGGAGCCGCTGGGCTAAGTGACATCACACCTTCTGTAAAGCACTCACTCACACTCGCACACAACAGCACCTGTTTACTGCACAAACACAAGACAAAGACAGGTTGAAGCAGCAGGTTGTGCTGAAGAGAGACTCTACTGAAGCTGGAAAAATAAACATAGGTATGCAATTGAGAATTTGACAATGATAGGAGAATCTTTCACGTTATTAGATTGGACTGGGACTCTCCCTGGCTCCTGAAGTTAATTAGGCAAGAAAAAGCCAGGAATGCAGTCTGAATCCAGCAGAGATTGAGGATAATAATGAGTTCTTTCTTTCTAACAAGACTGTATAAATTTGTGGAAGAAAACTCCCCTACAGCTGGCTCCTAGGATGTGGCTTAACCATCACGTGGTACCAACACAAGGTAACAAACATGGAGTAAAAAAAAGAAAAGTAAATCTAATTCTATCTAAAATTCAAATTTTGGAATATCTGTCAGCTTCTTCTCCTTCTCCAAAATCCCGAATCCAAACGTGTAAATTGGGTTCACTGTGCTGGTGTCACAGTTAGGCACAATGCCTTTCTGTGTAGCATTCAAGCTGGCATTGTGGATAAATAACTAATGAGTTAGGTGTAACCTTAACATTCTGTTAATGAGCGTCGGATTGCTCAGTTCTGTGCTGATAAACGCTGCTTGAGTGAGGAATATTTTCCCAGCTCCGGTAAAAGGTTCTTCCACATTCCTGTGTGTAACACCTCTGCGTTATTCCACTGTGACAGTGATGCATGCGGATAATTCCCAGACTTGGACTAATTGGAATAACAGCTCCATTAGCACATGGACTGGAAACCTCCAGCACAGTTCATGTCAGGATCTGGGAACAACTAGGAATCAAAAACTAGGAAAAGCAACAGCATTCAATGGCTGCAACTTGGGGCAACCTTGTTGTGAAATTGAACTGAATATTCAAAACTTCCTACAGGACATAGAAAACACTTAAAAATGATTTTTAATCTATTATCTATTATCTCTACATTTTAGAGCTATTATTTCAGGCATCCAGCCTGGGAGCTTAGATCACTCCCACAAAGCAGAGCTCACAGAGTACCCACAACCTTTAGTTCTAAATCCTTCACAACTCTATGCTTAGATAGGGTGTCCTCAGGGGAAACTGCAATAAACTACAGCAATATCACAACTCGGAAAACCTGCACTAGACAACAGATGTCTAAATACCACTTTACAATGGGAACAGCTTGCTGAGCAGGAGACCCAGTCCATAGTGTTAATGGAACAGGCCGATAGGCAGATTCCCTGGCACGCGCCAGACAGCCGAAGAAGCACCGACATGCCTGGAAACCTTGCGTTTCACTACCCCGACAGCCGTAACTGGGAAGCTCTTAAGAAGCGCCCAGCTCCTGAGCGATTCCCTGCGGCCGGGCCCAGCGAGCACACGGCTCTCAGCTCCGGGGGGCAGGCCGGAACGGGAGCGCTGCGGAAAGGCTGCATGCCGGGGGGGTGCGAGAGTCACCCTGCTAGGAATGTAGCCATGGAGGTGGCTGGTACTTTGAGGTGCAAAAGAAGCCACAGGGGCCGCAGAGAGCCCGTCTGGTTCTTTTCTCTTTAAAGAGCAAACGGGCTTCTCTTTCTGCAGAACCAGTCAGCTGAGCAAACCACAGACGTGCGGCTGACTGGTGGACACATCGTGATGTTGATTAAGGTGGCATGACAGCGAAAGGCAGAGTATTTTCTGGGTCAAGACTGACACACGTTCATGTTCAATCCGCAGACTATTCCAGTATTGCACTTTCTGCCGCTGTGCGATCTTTTTTTTGCTGAAGAATGGTCAAGCCTTTTCTGAAAAAACGCTGGGCTGTGCTGTAAATATGAAAGCTTGACACCACGCAATGATGCATCAGCAGAAGCAGCAGAAACCGCAGTAGTAGTAGGACACGTACTGTAGCTCCACATGCAACTGGGTCTTTTTTTTGTTCACGGTCTTTCAATTCTTTGTTCATTGACCTGGCACACAGGAGACACACCCGTGCCAGCTAATCTGAAAATCCGAAATGAAGAATCAACACGAGCTCTCAGTCTGAGCTGTTGTCTGCAGGAAGAGAGAGTGCCAGCCCGGCTCTTTGAAGAGGAGGCTGTTTCTTACGGTACAGAGAGAGAGGAGATGGAATGGGACTAACATGGCACTGCTGGCGGTGGAGGTGGACAGAGCTGTGCTCGAGATCACCCCACACTTGGAACATTTGAGAAGCAGTCTGCTACGCGGCTCATTCGCCTGGCTTCAGAGCGGCCCAAACACAGAAAACAAGGAAACACGGACAAACAGGAAAGGAAAGTGAGGGAGGAAGAGAGGAAGAAAACCACACACGTGGGGGGGAGACAGACGCACAGACGAGACGGACGATAAAACAATCCGAGGAAGGGACAGGGAGGGAGAATGAGAAAGAAAAAATGTTTTTAAAGGAAACCCAGCCAGTGAGAATACAATGCACAAAGCAGCAGAGAAGAGCATGAGTCCAATCACAGAACATCGATAATAGAAGAGCAAAGCTCTAGTTTCATGCAGAAATGTGTAACGAGGGAGCTGCAAAGTAGTAACATTCCTAGTTCACGCTGGGAAGAATCCGGTCCCTGGAGCACAGACCCAGGACAGGGCCGCCGGATGTGTGTGGAGAATAGACATGCCCATGAGCTCTGGGGTGGGAGTGTTCAAGGAGCTTCAGAGATCACAATTTTCGAAAATTTCAGGGGGGACCCTAGCTAAAATGAGCTAAAGACAGTCCAGTCTTCTGTACAGAATACCAAGCGAGAAATGCTACAGGCATTTGAACCTCATCTATTTTGTTCTTAGTTTTGTAAACAGATTTATTCACTTCAGCATCAGGCCTGTTCATTTATTATGTCATGGCTCTCTTATTGGAGTCATCCGTGCACTGGGTACATGTCGTTAAACCAGCCCGCCTTGATCACTGGTAGATCACAGGGGAGAAATGATCACGGAGGTTTAAATCGCTACAATGTGGACTGAGTGTCTGATAAATCTGTCTCTCTTCACTATTTAGGTCACCCGAACAGCTGAGCTGCTTCACACAGGCATTTTCTCCACCTAAAAACCTGACGCGAGTCCAAAACAGTTTGACAATGGTTTGGGCAAACTTTCAGAGCAGGCCTGAAATTTATTTTCATCGTTTACAAAATGACTGAATACGAAAGAACCAGGGGCATTTCTGTCCCTTCCCTCCCCAGCCTTCTGCCCTGGGGTGGAATTTAAAAACAAATGGAAGCAGGAAGAATAGAGAAGAGCACAAGACAGGAGGAGGCTCTGTTCCTGGCCTTTTGCAGGTTGTTGGGAAATGCCGAGTTGCTTGTGGGCAAAGTGATGGCTCCAGAGAGGTGTACCCAGGGACTGGGGTCTGTCAGGTCTGTCCTGCTAGTGAGCTGTCTTACTGGAGCACACAGAGAGCAGGAAAACAGGAGGTAAGGCTGACATGGGAGTGCAGGCGGTCACCTCTCGGGCACGCTTCACAGCTGAACTCCAGTCCTCAAAGCCAAACATGATTTATAAAATAAAATCAACAGCCTGACTGGAGTGCTGCAGTGAGGCTGAGGAAAATATCTGCACTGATTGGTAACCCAGCCTCATTAAGTCTCAAGAGGGTTTTGGAACATCAAAAGCTGTAAATTGTGCAAATTGCATCAACAGACAAAATGAGATGAGATAAGGCTTTAAAGAGCTGTTGTCAAAATTCCGGAAGCACCTCATTAAAGAAATTGCCCACAAAATTATATATGTATATACTGTATCTGATCCCAGCAGATGAGGTGATGAAACTTAAAAGAAGCTTTTTAAACGAATGCTGCACCGGTTAATTCAGCTATTTCTGAAACAGCCTTTTGATAACGTCCTGAAGAAATGCCTGAATCTGAAGGAAAGTCACACCGCTGGGTGCTGGCAGCCACAGAGCCTCCTGTGGTGAAACAGTTCTGACACTGTGTATTTTCTGCTGTCCAATTCAAGACTAGTAAAAATATCTTGATTGTATGTTTATTGTTTACATCGTAACCTCCAGATAAGTGAGACAATTTAACTCTGTGAAGCTGCTGAGTTTAATCTTTTCAATGACAAGTTCAGTATGTACAGTGCCTGCATCCTCCTCCTGCTCAAAATACTGCATTACACATTGCTGTGCCTCTGTATGGTTTTTATTTTCTGTAGCGTTATTACTGACTCCAGATCAAATATCAGGGATACAGCTGATGACATCTTCAGATACGAAGTGCTTTCAGAAGATTTCTTATTAAATTCCATTAAATGTATAAATGTATTGTTATTTTATCATTGTAGAACCAGTTTATTTGAAAAGTGGGATAAATCTGAAATGGTTATATCACAACTGAAGGTCAGATCGTTAAGCTTTGCAGCTCCCCAATACATTGGTTCTATCAGCTAGATTAGACGTGAAAGAAACCTCTAACAGTTATCACACGGATATACAGTACAGCAGGCATGGAAAGTTGCAAATATCCAGGAACAGAAACACCAGTCTGGCTCGCAAGCAGGTGGAGTTGGAGGGGACAATTGAAATCACTCAGTGAAGCTGATTACATGAGCTTTTTGTTCCTTCTTAACACCTGTATAAAGCTAAGTGATGCTGCCGAAGGAGAGTGCACTGACATAAAACAGGCAATAAAATATTGCTGCAGTGTCCAATCTAGTCAAAATGAAGAGAGAGGCACTGGGGAGTGCTGGCACAGCACTGCAGATCTCTACCGGCTGGAAAAATGATCTAACTACAGAACCAGCGTTAACATTTCATGAGGTTGTTTTATGTTCTCAACGTCCAAAGACACTGCATGAGCACCAAGGCAAATGTCCTCCTCTCACAAACAAACTTGAGTTGCTTAAAAAGTCTGCACCTAAATATAACTCTGGAGTAAAATCAATTCAGTCATTGAAATTAGTTAAGACCTGAGTGAACTCAGCCAATGACAATGATGGACTTATTTACTGTGTGTGAGTACAGAGAGAAAATCACAAGAGTCATTTATTCAATTGAGTGGCTTAAATGGACCTATCAGAGCTTTATTGCAAACACATAAGAGTAATTATGCCACAATTAGAACTGAATAGAGTATTTTATTTTCTATACAGCTCCCAAGGTAAACACAACAACCAATCAATAATATTCCATTAATAAATCTGTCATAAAAGGCATCATTATCCCGAGCTCCTTAATATTATATCAAGTGAGTTTGTCCATAGCAGACCGTAATCTGAGTCAATAAAAACAGACTGTATTCTCAAAGGTCACAGCTGCCTGGTAGCAATATTGTAAGTACGTGCCTGTGACTTACTTACTTACTGTGACACTAAGCATAGCTCAGAACCTACTTAGTGGTGCATCAAAAATGCAACGATCTCAACAGACGAGAACGAGCTTATGGTGAAATGTATCCAAGATTAAAAACAAACTCTGTGAAGCTTTGTCAGTGGCCAGGACTGGCCCTGGATATTTTAAACCCTCCTTGCTTTTCAATTCTCACTAGTGCGCTACTCTTCGGGCATACAAATGACGTGATGGCTTCAATTCACTCCCTTGTGCCTTCACTGTACCTACCCGGCTCGCTGCTTTTTGGACTTATCTGAAATCCCATCTCTGGACATCAGCTTGTTGAAAACCACGATGCCGATCAGCATGTTGACCTAGAGGGAAAGATCCTGCCGTCACTCTCAGGTGGTGCTCAGTGAATTCAGGGTTAACACAGGGGACTGCAAATTCCACGAGCAAACCCTTTGGATCCAGGAATACAGCAATGGGGGTGTTAATAACCCAGTAGGGTTGAGTCACCTGTAGTTTGTCACAGTCTTTTTTCTGAGAGTTTAATCCACTTTTTTTGGCAGTGCAATGCACAGTATTCGAACTACATGTAACAGCCACCTTTAGTACACTCCTGTAAGATGAACTCCAACTTGATTACAGTACAGTATGTGAGCCTGGGTTTGCAAGTCATGACATCTCCTCTCTTGCAAAAGTTCCCAGGACTGCAGACCTGGGCTGAGGGATGCAAGCTGTCTGTGGGCATCTTTAGCTGATTTGAAGAAGGAGACTGTCATACAGTATGCCCCAAGATCACTGTACTACAGTATGTCATTCAGTGAGTCAGAGCCTCTTTGTAAATGACACAACACATTTCTCTACAGCACATATTCCACTGCCTTTCTTCCCTGGAGCACATAGTCTTTTCTTAGGGAGAAGGGGGGACTTTATCAAACCCCTAATATGCTGTCTTGTGTTTTTGTCAACACATCTTTAATAAGGCCTTCAGTTTGATTGTGATTATGCCACATCTCCAGCCCCACAATCCTAGACGGCACAGTGGCCCTTCTCCATGCTGGCCAATAACACAGGCCTGCCTTGACCACTCCTCCCTCATGTCCTGTAGCTCTCTCCTTCTGGGATTGCCAAGAGAGAGACGTAAAAAAAACAGCATCTTTCCAACTGCATCCATACCGGGTATGGAGGAAAACTCTGTTCTCATTCCAGTCAAGAACAGCAGGATGACAAACAGCAATGGCTGTTATTCTGCCATTTGCCTTTGAGAGGGGATTCATTATTTTTCATTAATTGCATTACTCTTCCCAGAGCTTGGCTTCAGTCTCAGCTGCCTGACTGCACATACAGTACCATTCTGTTTCTGGATAGCAATAGGTACACTGACTAACAAACAGCCCCCATCAAACCTTACACTGGCAGCCACTCATAACACATCCTAAAATTGCTTCTTTAATGCGTTTGTTCCTGAGGATTTCATTTATTCAGAAGTTTATTGTTATTTAATTACAGTGTATTTTTGCACGTACTTACTGAAGGATTCTGCTATGTAGTGTAACTTGGTCTCCATGGAGAAGATTGGATTTATTTATAAAAGGAAATTGGATTCTTGCTGTAAAGTTTAAACTGCCCCAGCTTTTAAACTGGAGAATTTTAAGATTTACTCATCATTTTATAGGCATGGCTGATAGTTGTTAGGATCTGTATTGAAAATAAATACTCAGGGGCTCTCCTTTCCAGCTCTAAATATGTGACAAGACAGACATATGGAAAATAGTCTGTAAATCCTTTCAGAAAAACAAACAGCATTACCAAGAATATTGGATGTAAATATACAGTATGCACAATGTTTTGAAATAATTCTAAACTGTTTGATTTCACAGCTATGAATCACGACTCCCGAGAATCATGGCAAACACTTCTGGCAGGATGTATTCGCTTTCCAGTCCAGATGCACAAAGAGGAGCCTACCAGCACAATGACAGCTGCCGGACCCACAAATGCATACAGCAGGCCCCCCTCCAGGGACAGCCAGCAGCTGGAAGAGGAAAGACAGGGATCAGTCATACAGAGTGTGCAGGAGGGCTAAGGGCTCGGGGCCCATGAACACAGGGTGACGGAGCTCAGCTCTCCGGTACAAACAGCTGCATCCTTGAGGAGGCACAGGGACTCGTGCTCGAGCATCGACCTGCCATGTGTGGCAGAACCTCTTCCAATAGGAATGCTAGAATCTCAGTTCATTGGGAAATACAGAAATCAAGAGAAGCTCCAGCACCTAGACACTTTAGACACGAATTAAAAACAGTGTTGTTTACATGGCTAGCAATTCATTATTTGAATCTATAATCACATTACAGTCACTAAAACCTTTTGTTTCTAACTTGACATGACTGTTTAGCCTTTTTATTTTTACAATACTTCCCAATGTCATTCTTGCTCTTAGCTCTTTTTTAAGTGTGATTATAACCAATGACCATTTATAAAAAACAGGACCTGACAGCCGCATAACCCTGGTCCCCTTTGTGTTTGGTCAGCACCATTCTGCCATTTGTCCATCACTCTGAGGTGCCCCCAAGTGGAATTCACAAAACACAAACACAGACACAACATTCTTCCACATACAGAGTAAAATGGGAAGAATGCTGTCAATTCCCACACAATACGAAATACAAGGAGACAACTAAAATCCATTAAAAATATAAAGCATTACAAGGTCTGATTGCAACCCTGTAGTCTGCCAGAGAGCTGAAATAATTAAGCCATTTTTGTAGGAGAACTGGTGATTCTTAGCTTGCAGAACATGGTATTCTTCCTGAAAACCGATTTAGTTATTAACTTTTCTTTTTCATTTGCATCCACATGAAAGGCCTCTGTGTTTGTCAGCTTCTTTAGCAAATCAAAGGCACTCACTAGCTCGCCGTTCCATATCCCCTGGCTCGTGTGAAGCCCACAGATACAGCTACCACTAATGCTGGCAGACCTGGGGGACAGAGGGCAGGGAAACCATCAGCACCGGAGCACCTAATTTACTGTTAATGCTGGTTTTATCACCTGAAAAAAAAAATCATTTTAAAATCAACAGTGGTCAGAAAGATCGGTCTGTAGTTATCGTATAGAGAGGGTTAATTGAAGTGGTTTTCCCATTTCCTGTACTTCCATGAAAGGAGCCTCTCTTACTCCTTTACACTTATTTATTCAGTCACAAGCAGCATTCAGCTGTGCTCTGATGTGTTAAAAACTGTTTTCTCCTCTGTAATTTCACACCCATCTTCCCATTTACAACTTCTCTTGCATCGCAGCCCATCTAATGCGTGTCTGCTGTCATGTAAAGTTGCTTCATTATATATTGATTAGCTGCATCAATTAGATTTCATTTCAAAACCACGACTTAGACTTCAGTATAGCTAATGAGTTTCCTCTGAAATATTCATGTAATTAACAATATGCTGATTAACTTTGCAAATTAAATGCAATTAGGAAAAATTAATTACAAAAAAGAGGTAATAACAAAATTAAAAAATCCAAATGTACCACAAACAAGATGACATGTTTTCTACACTATATTAACCAATTACTACCTGGAAGCTCATACCACCTCTGAAGGCATCAGCTACAGTCACACAATGAATTATCGTACTGCACTAGTTCTCACATAAGAATCACATTAAATAATGGTAATAGTGCTTATTATACACTACAATTAGATTTGAATCATTATTATGTGCAACTCATTTTATTGTCTGAATGTTATTGTACATTATAAATTATAATGTATATAAACATTACATCATAATGAGTTTCCTCATTGTATAAGTACTTAAATATCCAGAGTCCTCTGCAGAACAGAGATGATGCAAGAAAATAACGTTCTTCTATGTTCTGACTTATGTGACACCTTAAGGACAAATAGCAATGGGTTGCTGCGTCTGAGTGTGTCAGAGAAGCCATACCCCAGCCCAGGCACAGAAAGCGCTTGCGAATGAGGCGTGTCCTGATCTTGCCAATCACAGCCAGGTAAGACTGCCACGCCTCCGTCAGCACCCAACAGAACGACGACAGGAAGAAGAAGTGCAGAAAGGCAGCAGTCATGGTGCACAGGCCCTGCAGAGCAGAGAGCAGGCAGGACAGAGGGAGAGTTGCAGAGAAGCAGACAGAGGTGCTTTTTTTCCATGTTTAAACCATCCTTACCACCACTGAACTTTACAAGAGAATCACATAACGCACAATGTGCTTTTAGGAAGGGCACAGAAATATGCACATAATATGCTACTGTTGTGAAGCAAAACCTGTAATCTGTCAAACATCAGACAACCCACCAATCAGTCTCCCTTATTGTGGCTTGATCACAGTGATGCTTAGTAAAATCCAGTTATGTAGAGGAAACCATTCTACAAACTGCAGGAAACCACAACAAAGCACTGTGCGAGCACGGGAGCATCATGAGAACTAACTGAGGTAAAGGCTGCAGGATGTGGCACGAACACATGTGGCAGATCACCAGAGACCTTGCGTGTGCAGGACACGAGGATTATAAACGTCAGAAAAACAGTCAAGCCAGACACACTGGTTTGGCCCAGATATGTGTCCCCGGACTGGTAGAGAGTTATCAGACACGGTTTAGCTCTCTCACTACATGTAGCCTGACAGCTCCTGTCTTGCACACATTGATGGTCCCTCCAGCCCAGGACCATGCTATGCAGAGTTCTCACTTTGGGGTACTGTGTTACTCAGGTCCTCTACAAGGCACAGCAGAGGCCTGTGATGGGTGTCAGCATTGCAATGCCACAGAAGTGCTGTTGTGTGTTAAAAGCAATTCTATATTTTACATTCCCCTAAGTCACACATCTGAAGTTGAATTGTTTTTGGGATGATAAATATCTAGTCAAAGTGTAAATGGTTTTGTTATGGTTTCAGTATGCTGACTGCAAAGGCTTCTAATGGCAAATGCATCCAATTCTTAGCACAGTGGAGAATTTCTACTTTCTATTAACTGATATCCAGCTGGAATGTTTAGAGAGTCTTTCATGAATGCATCGGGCTGGTAGTGTTCACACAAACCGTCTCATTCTGGTTTCTACAAAGGAATGACTGGGATTCGATAGAACAAAAAAACAAATCCAAAACTAGGACTGTTCTAAATCCTACTGGTCCAACTGCGAGTGTTGTTTAAATATTAATGTCTATAGGCCTAATTTCTTATCAATAACACTCGGCACTGTAAGACATCAACAGCAGGTGCCTAACAAATACCCTGAAGCAAATCTGTTAAGAAGAAAAAAGAGGCCGAACAGCTTGCAAGTAAGTTTACTGATCTTACTGATTGAGAGCCTTCTTTCACCCAGGAGGCAGGCAGAAAGAGTCAATAGGTTGGTCAGGGAGACCTTGACCACCCTCAGCCCAGGGCTCTCAGCATGGATCTCACTGCAGAGCACATCGATACACTTCAGGTCCTGCCAGCTACAGGCATCTTGCTAAAACAATACTAATGAAACCAAAAAAAGCAAATACATATTTATCAAGTCTGCAAGCATGGAATATTCAGAGCCTGCCGTTGGCTTAAGTATGAATAAACCCTGCAGCTGGCAGAACCTGCAGCATATTAAGTTACTGTGCAATGGGAGTCCTGTCTTCAGATATTCTCTCAGGTGTCAGGGAACCAGGGAGAAATATGGTTCTCCTTGCCTGGAAATCTGGGGCTGACCAGATTGCCCAGTGGCTGTTCCAAGACAGTCTTGTTCTTTGTTTCCTTAAGATGGACCCTGAAACTCTTCCCTTTTCTGAATGGCGAAGGCAGATCTGGACCTGCTCCAGCACGTACCTTGCTGAGGGTCTGTGACTGACCCACCAGGATGAGGATGTTGGAGGCCAGGATGGAGAGGCAGAAGTTAAGGAGGATGATGGATCGCTCTGACCTTATATACCTGCAGGGAGCCCAGCACACAGCACCATCAGGTCAAAACTGACAGAGCAGTCGATTCAGAAGACAAATGGGTGGCTTTGTTGTTGTTTAACTTGGCTAAATTGAGCACATACCAGAGGATCGAACAAATAAGAAAGAAGCAGGTGCCCTAGGATTCTTTTTGAAATTCTGGCCATTAAACATCTAGCATTAACTTTAGATCTTCAATGCAAGATGTTGGTATATTATGTACATTAGGCCAGAATACTTACTCTGGTTGCTCATAAAGGTAATTGAACATGTCTTCACACTGAGTAGGTAAATACAGGAGAGCTGCTTTGCATACTTCCTGAGAGACAAACACTGGTCAAACATTGCTTTAAAGTGTATCGAACACTAGAAGCAGCACTGACTCCCTCGCAGCTGTGGACGAGGACACTGTGAGTGGCTTGGGCATGGACCCCATTCCACTGATCTGCTTCCTGCTGGCCAGTGCTGAGGCGGTTGTCCCCACTCTGGCCCAAGAGTGGGCCTGTCTGCTGTCATAACTGGGAGCAGCACTTGGAGTGAATAAGTAGTCATGTGAGAGGAACCATCTGTTCCTGATTCCTGTGCCTGAGCTGCACTCTCATTCTCTGTGTTAGCTCAGTGGCAGAGCCATTTGTTAAACAGCAAATATTAACATGCCCATGCACGCCGTGAGTCCTCATGCTGTTCCTGCTGGATCCTGTCCCTGCCTTTCTTTGTGTCTTCTGTCATGGCGGCTTTCAGTGTGTCTGTCCTTGGACCTAGATGAGTGACAGCAAACCGCTCTCTGTGCACAGCTGACCGAGCTGCTCTGTCGAAATGTGTGTGAGTATGTGGCTGTGTTCCAAGTAGACGATAAAGAGCCCACCTGTCTACAAATGCGTTTTCGAACACCCTTTTAAAATGGAAATGACAATATCGATAAAACGAGGAACCCTGCAGGGAAAGCAGCTGTTGTGAAAGGAGATGCTGTTGGTTTGCAAACAGAGAGAAGGAGCCACTGAATGACAGGGTGCCGGGGAAAGTCGTCAGTGTAACACGTTTCAGGGAACCGGTATCAAGTCTGACCAGAGTTTTATGTTCATCAGTGTTTCATTTCCTCTCAGTTTTCTCAGATGTTCTAGTCTGGGAAACCCCACCTCTGCTGCACCCTGCGCATCTGCTGGAAGCATGTGGTGCTCTTCTGCAATTCCACCCAGCACATTGAATTCATAGCACTATAGAGATGGAGACTGGATTACTGTGTAAGGGTGTGGAGACAGCTGAAGCTGTAAGGGTAGGGGAATGTCTAACAGTTTAATCCATCCTTATTCAGAGAGAGTGCAGTGTAACTCCAGAACTCAGTATTAATGAATTGCACAGACTCCTAACTGCAGGGAAACGCACAATAGAATCACAAGTTTCTGAATTCTGGCCCATCCCTGTTTTGTAAGGACTCCCATACTGCAGGTTTGAGTCACTCTAGGGCGTACTGTACCTCCAGAAGGCCGCATAGATGGCCAGCAGTGTGAAGAGAGCCATGCACGAGATGGCACAGCCTATCATGAGGGGGACTGATGGCACTCCGGACGGACCCATTTCCTGCAGAGAAAAGACAGCAGTGTTAAAAGTCACACTGCCCCCTCGTGAACAGCCTGCACATGACCGTGACACCACATCCCAGCAGGAACAGAAAGAGTTCCCAGCACCGTGGGAGCAGACATCCTGAAACTGATTTCATTAAGTTCAAGGTGAGACCTGCGTCAGGAGGCTGCAAAGGAACAGGTAAAGGTTTATTCCATGTTAAAAAGAAAAGAGAACAGACACAACTTTTCAACTGTGGAGTTTTCTTCAGGTGAAACGTTGTGTGGCTTTTCTTTTCCTTTCACATTGAAACTGATGGGAAACGAGAGTATCCTGGAAGTAGGAAGAGCGTTGCAAAGCTCAGGATTCTTTAAGCTGTTCGGTGCAAACAAGATCTGCACTGGGGATCCCCATCGGAAACCAAGGTTTCTGAGAACAAGATGCATCTAACAGCAGGAGTCACAGAGCTACTGGGAAGAGACTGCCTGAACATTCCTGAAACATTCAAGTCAGCCACTAGCAGCAGAAGAGCAAAGTGGACCAAATTTTTAACCTTTTAAAATATTGTACCGTTCTTGTTATCAATATAAACACCATGGCTTCTTGATGGCCCTTGCCGAACTCCTCTTCTGAGGGTCTTCACAGAGTGCAGGGGGGCACTGTCTGACTGTGTTGGACAGCTCAGAGCACACAGCCTCGCTGCAGCACAGCTTGTCCAACCAGCCTTGGCGCTGCTTTTCCACTTCCTTCAGCAGAGCAGGGAATCGCAAACCTTAGGAACTTCAGGACAATAAAATAGAGAGAAAATACAGACGTACCGTAGGGCCGAAGGTAAGGCTCTGTGAAGTATATTGTCTTATTTTTTGTGTGACTGCTCCTTATCTTTTTTCTAGGTGCTCTCTCCTGCTTATGCTAAATTACTGCATTTACACACAGCCTAATTAAACCTAGAACAGCCAGTTAATGTCAGATTAGCATGACTACAATGACAGTGGGCCTTTTCCCTTAATAAGCAAATGGCGTGGATCATGTCTGTCATGTCCCCTCTCGATGTCCAGCAGGCGGACTCTGCAGAGCAGTCCAGACCTGTCCTGTCCTGTCAGCCTGTCAGTCTGTGGGCTGTGCTCAGAACCAGAACAAGAGAAGCAGGAGGAGATGGGGGAGGGGGTTTCTCTCAGAACCAGGAGGCTTATTTTAGCTGTGGCCTTGGTCTCCAGACACAAGAGACAGCCAAGTCAGAAATACCGTCATGTGTCGTACAGAGGCCTCAGAAATCCTTCTCTTTCCTCCTCCACACAGCCGAGTCAACCATGGCTAGAATCTGCCCACGCTCAACCCCTCCCTGTGCTTGGGGTGAGTGTCAGGCGAGTGGGAGGTTTATGGTTGTTAATTTATCAAGCATTACTCAGCAAGCCAGTTGGAGCTTTAATTACTAGTATCAACAGTCTGGTCTGTGCCCCAGAGCCGGGTGAATAAGAGTCGAACAGAGAGCTGATCAGTTTCAAGAGGTTAGCGAAGGCACAGGATACTAAACTGGCAATGGTAAAATGGATTATATTTATTCTATTGAATTGCTCTGCACATCCTGATGATGGGCAGGAATGAACTGTTTATAAAACCACCTGGATTATGTTGATTATGTTGAAAACAGATGAAAACATGGGAAATGTGTGCCAGTGTTTTCTTATTTCAATGTGTTTGCTTCATGTCCTTCTGCGGAAAAAAAACAACAAATTCCAACTGACAAATATTTCCTGATTGCCAAAGGCAAAATATATAAAAAAAGAGATTATCTTCCAGTGTGTGGAGGCTTGTGTTATTGATGAGACTTCAAACTCTTAAGCACCCCCTACTCGAGATGTCCTTGGACATTCAGCTTGTTACTCCACAGTCAGAACAGCTGGAAAGAATATTAATAAATATTTGCATGTCATCCCTAAGGATCCCAAAGTTCTTTGCATGCATAAAGAGGGCCCACTTCATCCACCACTGCAGTGCAGGCCCACCTGGGCGACACACAGCAGCCCCTCTGCACCGCAGATCAGGGGGAGAGGTCAAATTCAAGAGCGACTCTAAGAAGGCTTACACACATCCGTTTAATGACCAGTAGTCAATGACAAGTGTCCCTTGTCATCATGCTGGAGCACTGGAATGGAAGTGTGCCACCTGCTGGTCTGCCAGTGCCACAGCAGTCACATGGCTTTCCTTGAGGTCTCCCAGCCCAGTGACCCTGCCCAGCCTTGCTGACACAACAAGATCAGGATACAAGGCTGTAATAAAGCTGCTCACTATAATACTGTAATATCGCTGTTCATTGTAAACTGGCTCTTGCTTTCATATCATTATTGTTACAGAATTATTGATAAATTTGTTGCCTTAACGGTTTCATTAATTTCAATAACCAGTGCAATTTTTCATCGTGGAGCTGTAAAGAGATCCCCTCTTTAGAAGCTCTTCAAAGAAGACTTTAAATGAATGATTCACATGCCCTGGAGTTCAGAGCTTCTTCCTCTTGCTGGTGAAAGGGGAAAACGGAGCCTTGAGTTAAATCTGCAGGTTCTTCACCTCCTCGGCAGGCCACGCTGGTAGCGCTCCAAGTGTTGTTAAATAATCCAGAGCAAGTCGATACTCAAATGCCAGAACAACGCCGGCTAAAGCCTTTTAATCTTAAAACTTTGTTTACGGATTCACAACAGAATGTGAATGAAGCTGGCATGCTACAGGGCCTGCACAGTCATAACTTACTGAAGGCTAAAAACAGGAACCAGGAGAACCTCCAGTGAGATCGGGATTACACAGCCACGTTCTTTCAGCCCGATGCCCAGAGTCGGGAAAATGAATCAACATGCAGGGGCCGAACCGCAATTGGACCAGCTGAAGTGTCAGGACGCGTCGCCAGGAGATCTCCCACCAGAACAACGCCTGCAGAACAAATCCGTGGAAAGGGCCTGTGGAACAGGATCCGTGGTCCCGCCAGAACTGGGCCCAGACTAACAACCACCGGCGAACGCAGACAAAACGCTTGCCACACAAAGGGACAAGGGATCATGACACCTGAGTGCATGGAGCACCCCAGGGGAAAGCCAGGTTGAGTCCCAGGGGAGCAGTGCTGTTCTCTTGTAGGAACAGGAGAAGCACTCCTCCCCTCCAGAGCCCAATCTGGGTGGCAGACTCGTGATGACATTTACCTACACAGAAATCCATAACTGTGGACCGGATTCCTTCTGTGTTACAGTATGTATTAGAACAGGGTTATGTCTCTTAACTGGCTTGTAGCTGCATTGTAACATAACATCCAAGTTTGTTTCCAGGATGCTTGGCAAATCTGCATTTTTTTGGTCCAAATATTAAATTAAAGTAGCTGAAAGAAGTTCATAAACCAAGCGGAGGTGGAACAGAAACACGTTGTTTTGTTTGGGGACACACAGAAATGTCGCACAGCGACACAGGGCTTTGCTGCTCCTGCGAGCTCCAGCGAGCCTGACAGCTCCGGTGTGGAGCTATTTTAAGCCCAGGTTTAACCTACTTATCGTTTTTATTAACCAATGGTATGGCGTACGATTTACTTCCCCCCTGCTGCAATAATTCATTCTGTCAGAGGAAATCGCATGAGAAAACGCCTCCAGCGCCACGCAGGCAGGGCTCTTCGCAACCCGCCCTGCTCTGCACTGTCTTCGTGTGCCCCACCAGCAGTGCCCCAGCTTGGCGCATGTCATGCACTTGTCTGCACCTGACCCTTATTAAATCATCCCGCATTACGTCGTGCACAGCAGAGCAACCCTGAAATGAAATCGAGAACCAGACCATGTTTTTGAATCTCAGGTGAATTTCACTCAAGTGAGCGGTGAGTCTGAATCTTCCCTCGCAGTCCAATTATTTCACCATTTTGAAGGAGATGCAGGTGAGAGATGCACTGTATGTTTACACCGTACCTGCTCATGAATTTTCGCCTTCTTCTCGCAACAGTATAGCCCAAGAAGTACTGATTATGGGAAGTGTGCCCTCCTTAATTTCATTAGTCCAACTCCTCCTCTCACCACACTCCCGAACAGATGAAACCACCTGTCCAGCTCATTTTATCACTACAAGGCTTGAAACTATTTTTATTAGACAGATGTATCTGAGTGGAGTTTCCTGGAGCGGACTGTCAAGAAAAGCACTATATAAATTTAAGGAATTATTTTTATAAAGTTGCTACAAATTATGGGAATTAATGTTAATTAAGAAACCTATATATACAGTTAAAGATCTGTCTGTTTCTATAACTATAAGTCTGGCAGTCAGTCTATCAGTCTGTCCCAGCTGGAAAAAGCTGCACAGTCCTTTTCTTTCTGTATACTTGAAAATTAAGGTAGAGTTAGCAATTACTGATCTGAAAGAACAAAAACACAAAGTGCAGATAGACTAGTCATGCAGACCAAGAAATCTGCCGCACATATCAGCTAGAGAAATAAATAAATCACAGCCACGGTAAGTGTAAGTGTTGCATTCTCGTGAGAGGGGATAAGAGAGGTAATAAAGGCTTTGGTCTCCATGCTGCCTGCTTATAATAACAGCACAGGCTTACCCCTTCTATCAAACACAAAATTAATCCTGCATCACCTCAGATTCCAGCCCCTCCTCGCGCCCCGGAGGAGCTGGTGTTTGGTCTCCCCATCCGAAACCAGGCAACAGCTAGCCGGAATCAGTGAGTGAGGGTCCTGCAGACTTGTACAGCCATAGTTCTCACAGTGTTCCTCACAGTGGCCTCACAGCAGGTCCATCAAGCTTCCAGGGAAAGTGAATTTAGCTGCGGCTCCTCGAATGGAACCTCCCTCTTCCATCAAGAGCCAAGTACAGAAAAACCAGATAACACCAGATCCCAAGCAGCAGAGATCCCTCAAAGACAGTCCATCCATCTGTCCCGGGCATCCAAAGCTAAAAGCTTGGTTTGCCCACAGGAAAGGACCCTGTTTCCCTTGTACCTTCCAGCACCCACTCACAGAGTGACAGCCAGATAACCGAGGTGTCCAATATCCGAGAGGCACTTTCTGAACGGCTGCTCGTTTCATACGAGCCTCCAGATCACATGATTGCGTGTTCGGGGTGATCAAGCTGTAGGCGTTCAAGACAAACCTTTAAAGGTTGTGCTCAGAATGAAAGTGCCCCCTTCTGAGCAAAATAGCCACCTCCTCCACTCCGAAACTGTGTTTAGAGTCCACTGAGACAGAGTGAGACTTAGGGCCACCTGTGTTTGGGATTCGTTTGGAGGTAATGGCCGGAACTCACAGGAAATTCTCCTGTCCCTGGGAGAGGGGCACATGGGGGCAGGGAGGAGATGTCACTTTGCTGAATCACACCCCAGGGACCCCTAGTGTGAATCCCTGAGAAGAACGCTCAGCTGCCCAGACGAATCCCGCTCTCCCTTTTCTGTTCCCAGAACGGCTGCTCCTTCGCAAGAAAACAACCCGATTGAAAGTAGACAAACTGCTCCCCCTCAGGCGCTGGCTGCTAGTCCCCTGCAGACGGCTCTCTGCTCGCCTCACCTGGCATGGCCTTCGGAAGCCATCCTCAGGCTCTGAGTTCTTCCAGATCTCAAGTCACTGCACCCGAATCAAAGTGCTTCCCTGCTGCGGTTAAGCGCTTTCCTTCTCCTCCAGCGCTGCTGCCTCCCAGCAGGATGTCCTGCACTTGGCTCTGCCCTGCCAGGGTCCAGGTCAGACTTTCGATTTGGTCAGAATTGACTTCATTTCATTCTTGGCTGGTGTCCAGACGAGACCTTCACATCTGCCATTCATTCCTCTAGACATTTATTTTCCTCGACCTGGATTCAACCAAACTGATCTAGATCATCTGATTTTCACTGCTGCCTGCTCTCCAGCCATAAACAACAAACCAAACAGGATATTTTCCAGAGGATTCTTGAAGCCGCTTTGCAGAACCCAGCCAGGAACCATGGGGTTTATCCGAAAGGGCAAAGTTTTAATGTAACTTGGGCTTAGGCTACGATTAATGCAAATAACTAATTTAGAAAAGTTTTTGTGTCACTTGTCTAAAACAAACCTGTCTATGATCCCCAGCACAGTTAGTCTGGTCAGCCATGATCCAAACCTCACGCAAGCAAAGTATAAGCATGGTGTAGTTTGAGTAAATCTCTAGAAACATTTCTTATTTAAAGGTTTGGACTTCAAGGTATTTTCAGTCGTGCTACAGGGGTCAAAATACCAAGATTCGCTTTATTCTGTAATTTCAGCTCTTCCTGCCTGTTTCCTATAATATAGTTCCTTTACAGGAATGTAATTTCCAGCAGTACTGTACTGGCACTAACTTTTAATTCATTTTTTTTCTCCCAGGGCTGCAAGACCCCTGTCACACCTGAGCTGATATTAATCTTTTCAGACCTGCAGGTAGACTGCACTTTTAACAGGTTTAACCTGCAACAGAGCAGTTTTGGATAGATAAAGGGGTCCTGTGCCATTTGCACACACACAGATACATTCCAGAATATTGCACAAGCCACTTCAGAGGGGAGCTGTGGCCACAGCAGGTCCATTCAGCAGCTCCCAGCTCCAACGCAGACAGGAAGTGGTCAACAGGAAGTGGGAGAGGGAGTGGGTGTTGGCAGGGGTGATTGGTGGCTGTGGCCGTGCCTGGGCCCAGCTGGGAGTACGTCTGTTTCCCAGCCCACACCGCTCATTCCTCAGGGGCAGTTTCCATCTCCCGGCCTACTGCTCTCCCTCCCTGCATATCAATCACTCTAATGGAGTTTGGGGGAGTTGGGGGGGGGGCATTCAGAAAATCTGGGTCAATACCAGTCTGCCTGCTGGGGACACTGGTGCAGGATAGGAGGGGGAGGAGGCTGATGGCGGTAGGAAATGGAAAGAAAAGGATTCTTTTTTTTCTGGCTGTTAGCGCTTGACAATGTCAGAGCCACTTCTCCCCAGCCAGAGGACATGCGCTTGTGCCGCAGCTCCAGCCTGCATTAGCAGGAGTAGCAGAGTCACAGCTCCGTGCCATCAGCAGGGACCCTCACGCGCAGGGCAGGCATCTCTGCACACAGTAACAGGGGCTGGGATTCAAGTAACGGTAGACAATTTTAACATGCTATGAACAGTGGCATGATAACCTGACATATTAAGGCATGGTGCTGAACAAACACCACCCTCAGCAGCATCCAATCGAAATCTTACACATCTGAGGACATATTTAGAGTATCTAATTAAACTACAAGCGCAGTCTTGCGAACAATCACAAGTATAGCTGGAGCTGTGCAGACAATGTACTCATTCTATTGGTTATCCTTCCCAAACACAACCTTACATTCCTCCTGTGGTCCTTACAACCACCCCTTTTAAGCTTCAAAGCGATCACAGAGGTTATAAAAATTACTAGCAGATATAATTATTATGCAAAATTATTATGCTCCAATGCTACAAATATTACTACTAATGAGAAAGAAAAAAATCAGCTACAGCACATGAAAAACAGAGAGTATGTGCCTTAATGAGGAAGTCACAGCTTCCAGCACTCTGACATGCAATCTGTGATCCCCTGGAAGGAGAGGAACTTTGCTAAACTGCAGCCCAGCGCTCATACATACAAGCTCCCACTCCATGAATTAATTTCACAGGTTAACAGATGCATCTTTAATGAGACCATTTAAGTAGAGCGATTAAGAGATGGAGAAAGTCGTTATTTTCCCCCTGACACTCCCGCAGTGTCTGGAGCTGTCCTGTAACTCTCCCCTCTCCAGAGACCTCACGGCAACTCCCTCGTCCCCGTAAGTTCATGCTGGCAGACGGGACCAACAGTAACGCTCGGCGCTCAGCGCGGCTGCCTGCCCCTTTAACTGCCACTGTGCTGGTCTTTTGTCTCTGACCTTGAGAACACGCACCATTTCCGAAACAGGACCCCCATCACATCAAGCCAACAAACATAGAGCATGTCTTTTTTTAGCTGCGCTTGTAAAGTTCTGGTTCCGTTTTCCATTTGTGTCCATGAAACGTTTGACTTACCAGATCTTTAGGCTGCTGAGCTAACACTGCGAAGGTGGAGATCTTCTTGCAGAGACATTTGGTGTGGACAGACTGAGATTGGAGCGTTTGGCAGCCCTCTGTGTCCCAGTTTTCCGTGCCAACCTCTCTGATTAACGGGAAAGAAAACACGCACACACACAGACACACACACAGAAAGACAGTGAGAGATATTCAAATGATCCGGCAGTCGACAGACACATGGATCCTATACTCTGGCTACATTCTCTTTCCATTAACCCTCCAAGGACTGCAGTGAGTTTGCTGCGCTGTACTGCGTTGTGCTGTGCCTACAAAGTAGGCGAATGCCCCCACTGCTTTCCTCTAACCAGCTTTCACCACTGACTTTAGCTTCTCACTTTTTTCTCTTTGACTTGCTTGGTTTGCATTTTCTTCCAGCGGTACAGCGCATACTTGCTAGTATACTGAGCAAACCGTGCGTCCGCAAGCAATTTTTTTAGAAATTTGCCCCATTGCCCCATCCTGCTCAGTATGATGACACGGACAGCGATCGCTGCACAGAGGACGAAAAGGTACGGTGTGATAACCTGAGTTTCAGTGAGAGCAGCTGGGGGAGAAGGGTCAGGGCTCAGGTCGGTCCAGGGGGTTTGGGCTGTGTGACTTTGCCATGCTCTCAGAGTGTTACTCGTCGGCAGGAGGGGAGATGCTCACAGCTGGCTCCCTGGTTCCCCAGGGAGAGACGTTCCCGATGTGGAGAGAAGAAAAACGACTTCGGGGGCACCGAGGCTCCCTGCTCGCTGGCAGAGCTCCAGAGCTGGAGAAAGCAGAGCTGCTCTGTCAGCACATCAGTCCTGCAGCTGTGCCCTGCCTGCCTCACAAGGCTGGGTGGCACAGAGATCTCGCACTCTCTGCTTTCAGGGCTCTAAATGCAGGGGCACAAGGGCCAAATCAAGCTCAAACAGCTCCGACAGATGCCTCAGCGCGACATGCCTGTTCCCCGTGGGTCCTCTGCCATCACATGTTCCAAGAGCACTTTTAACAGGTTCTTCAGTACTATGCAACTACAGAAATCAGGACACATTAAATGTACACAATCAACAAAGCTTCTTAGAAAGCAAATCAGTCATGTAATAATACTAAGAAACACCAGTTGTGTGATGGAGAGCCCAGGGGGCAAGAGAGGGAGAATAATAGATCTTGTTAGCCAGTTCAGACCCATATTCGGTCAATCAAGTACTGTTTTGGACTGGCAGTAAAGCCTGGTTAGTGGCACCAACATCAAGCCGATCTATACTAATTACATTTTCACTGAGCACACCCACTGCGCAGCGCCAGAAGGGCTGCTGGACTGGTGCAAAAAAGTAGGTTAGAGAGTCAAACCTCATTTATTTTTAGCCATCGTCTTTCTCTGAGTTACACCTCTCTGGGTTTCATTTCTAAACCTGGCCCTTTTTCTACCAGCATGAGGACCAACCACACCTCCTTTCAAACAACAGACTGTTGTTAACCTGCATACATTTTCTGAACAGCACGATTCTAGAGCTTTTTGGGGCCAAGGCCTTCGACTTTTAGCGCTGTCAGAAACTTGAGTGCCCTGCTTAGGGAGCCAGTGTTGCGCTAGCCTGCCTGTTCACACAAAAAGGGGGGATCAGGAGGCTGGCTGCTGGCATCATGTCCCCCTGCTTGCTCGTCCTTTGATGACAGCTCTGTCACAACTGGGAGAGCACTGAAAAACAGAGACGAGACCCTAGGAATCCCGAAGACAGCTGCAGAGCAATCTCTTTCATTCCTACACTTTGGATGTACTTTACAACAACGAGTAAGTTCCTCCATTTGTGGCGCAGCGTGTCTCATGTCTCATGAGTGACATTGTCCATCTGCCGAGCTCTTCTGCTGAGCCACTGAGTCCACTGAAGACCAGGGGAGCCGGATGACACTGCTGTGACAGAGCTCTGCCTCCGGACTCCAGTATTTCTGCTCAAAGCACTGAGCATCAACACAGCAAGGCTTCTCTCTCCTGAAACAGCCTGCAGGTGATGGCCCTGCACTTTCTGGTAAGCTGTTGTGGTTTGGAGTGAGAGACTAACCACAGACAGCTCGTGTTTCCACTGCCTTCCCAGATAAGCACAAGTAAGTGACTGCTGAAGAACGCTTTGGAGTGGAGCTTATAAGGTTAAACTTCAATCTGATTTAAAGAGGCTCCGGAAACCCTGGACTGTGCCCCTTGACAACTAGTAATGGGGAAAAGCAGGTATTTATCTTTAAACCAACGAGGATGTTATTTTCTTACATATTCCAGGGCAAAAAAAACATTTCCTCTATTCATTTCTTAATTATTTATCCTGAACATGCTAACGAGTCTTTGAATCTTTAACGAGATGGTTGTTTCCACGCTCAGCAGTGTGCCACGGAGCACAGCTTTGATGGAGCAGTGGGTGAAGGGCTGGCATACCAATTGAGCCTGAACGCGGGCCGGGTCTACAATTCAAGCTCACGATGCAAGGAATCGTTGCTCTAACACTATGGAAAATTTAATGAGAGGACAGGGTCCTTGGAGATCCAGCTTCCTCGAGGAGCTGACATCAAAGCGCTTTGAGAAGCCACCTTTAATGGTGCTATACAAAATAAAGTTTATTATTAATATTATCATCAGAAGGAATTCAAAGCCCTTTCCTGGGAAGCACATACAGGTACTATACACACGTTTCAGCAACACAATAAGGAAGGGCTCCGAAGGTTAGGGGGCAGGATGTGTTATGAGAAGGTTCCCAGTACATGTCCTGGCTGTGCCACTCACTCGCTGTGAGCCCCCCACTGCCTGATTGCTGACTTGTTCTACTCTGCTTTGTTGTAATTTGCAGCAGGATAAAGTATTTAAGCAAGTACAAAAATTATTGAGTTCAAAAAGACTTCAAGGAGGTGAAGAGAGACTGGAATTATTCCAAAAAAAAGAGAGCTTAATTTCTGGAAAAACGATGACTAAATTCAAGCTGTAAATTACACTACTTCAATTAATTAGATATTCGATACAGAAAAAAATAAATGCAGCATTTTTTTCCCCGGTCTTTCATCGGTGTGCTATATAAACAAGGCAATTTACACCTGCAATCCAATCTTTTCAGCTCAGGTTAAATACAATTTTCAAAGTTATGAAGTAATAAGCAATATCTTTTGCAATTACCATATTCTGTAGGTCTAAATGGATCCTGGAAATTGGAAAGGCTGAGATAACAACATTCATGTTCACACAGTTTTTCATCTTTGCAAATTTTCTTTTTTTTGCCTGTCTCTGAGAGCAGAATACTAACGGCGGCCGAGGAGTCTGAGCTCAGGAGCAGCCAGTTTAACTCGAGGGGAAAATAAAACAGCTGTTTTACTCCTGTGCTGTAATCTAGACCATATTGCCGATTTTGTAAACACACAGGAAAAGAAATCTGAGGATAACTGCTATTAGCTTTGCTATTACTTAGTAAAACACTGGTTCGGAGATGTAATTAAACTGAGCCCCGGCCTGGCACAGCGGACCGGCGGTTCTAGAATTGAAGCGCTCTCGCCAGAAGCCGACAGGCAGGCCGAGAGATAGACACTCCTGCAGGACCAGCTCTTCTATAACCCTCAGCCTTGTCACAACTTTCTCACAGGGGTCTCACTCTGGTTGTCTCATCAGCTTCCTGGCTTGGCCTTGCTGCCACCTGCCCCAGAGCTCCTGCACCCAGGGGTGGGCACAGAAGGACAGACCCTGCTGCGTCCAGGGGCTGCCTCACGGGGGGCACGCAGAGAGCCTGTGGCCACTGATCACCAGGAGGGGGAGCTGGTCTGAGACAGCGGCTCTGACTGACAGATGCCAGTCAGCTTGATGTAAAGTGGCACCGGGTCCAAAATCCAACACACTGTGCCCCTCTCACTTCCTTTCAGCCTACAGACACCTTCATGTTGGACCACTTGTTAAAGATGGTTGAACAAGCTCTGTTATTATAATCAGCCACTATTTAATTGATGTAATAACACAATATGCCGCTGACTTATTGCTCTGATTTTATCATTGAGTTTCTCCAATGTCTTCTGAGCTGCTTTGCTCTTCTCTGCTGTGCTAAATAACCTGTGTTGATGGCCAGCACTTACACCTACTGTACAACTAGAGTATGGAGCTTCAGGCACCTACCTAAGTGCCAAAAACAACAAAAACACCACTAAAGTAATATTCCAGCGGGGTGGTGGTTGAGCAGGATGATGCAGTGTGTGCTCTAGAATTCCCACGTTACAGAACCACCAGCAGAGAAGAGAATGAGTGGAACTACACATTTCCCAACTTAGTAACACCGCCGGTCCTCTAACAATCTTGCAAGAGCTGCTCTAATGGGGCGTCAGCCTGTGGTTTTATAGACCCCTGCCATTTCCCAGCTTTTAAATAAAAGGCACATGGCGCTTGGCAAGAGCCCTGCCATGAAGGGGTGCTGTGATTGTGAGGATGATTATCAGTATAAAGTGTTTTCTTTTCAGAGGTATTTGTTGAAACGTTTACAGAAGGATTAGGAGACATGATTAAGCTTTATTTTATTTTGCCTTTCTTAAACGGCATTACACGTATAAATATTAATCAGGCTCTTGTGAGACAGAACAGAGAGAGCTCAATTTCTGCAGTGACCAACATTAAAAGATAATCATGTTTTCAGCTAACAAAAGAGGCTTAATGTAGCTGGAAGGTTCGTACTGGATTAGGGTCTGTGTGCTGCACAGTAATTATCACTGATAATGCAGGGGATCCTACTGTTAGTTGCTCTGCAGTGGGGGGGGGGTTATTAAACAGTTTTGGAAAAAGGTTTCTGAAATTCCTCACAAAATAGCCATTTGGAGGATGCTCATTTTTATTCCTCTTTTTCTGAAATAATGTACAAGGCCACCCAGAGTGGGACCACCTTCCCCTTCCTTTTTTTTTGCATGTGGAAGTCAAACAGCAGTTCTATCTCCTCCTTCCCCTCCCGATCCTGAGGGAGCCCTGGAGTCCCAAGAGTGGGGTGCATGCACGGAAAGACACAGAGGCAGGAGGACGCACTGTTCCCCCGGAGGGGACAAATAATCTCGTCAAATTCTCCCACAGCCAGCTCTCACGCAACTTTGGCCTGGGTGTCCGGGCGCCTGTGAGGAGAT